TTACAGATGCTGTGCTGCTGTGACACGTGTGGTACTAGAGCCTTTACCCTCATCTCACAGGATCCCAGAGTGATGGTTCATGAAGCCTTTTCCAAGGTCATCTACTTCTGAGTCAGTTGAAAGCCTTAAAGAAATTGGGCCTCGTAGTGATGTGGGGCTGCTGAGTCACGAGTTGAAAAAGAATTTTCAGACATGAGCTGCTTGTTCGTCCGTGCACCTTTATTTTGTGTTCAGCATGGGGATGGGACCCATGCGCTGTAAAGAGCTGCAGTGCAAGAGTCTGTGTGGGGCCATTATATACCATTTTTAGCTATTTTACTATTCTATAGAAATGTCAAAAGAGAAAGTATTAGGTGGTCTGGTTAGTCTCAAAGATTAGGACATGGGAGCAGATGAATGAGATGTGTCCTTGCATTCCAAGGTAAAGTTTGCCTCAAGGAACACGTAGGCAGGAGAGTAAAATCATCGATTACCTACTGAAGGTAAATTTATTCGCTCCTAGCCAGAGATGATTGAGTAATGCGAAACTGAATGAAGTCTCATGGAAAGAGTTGGAAATTGTAAAACAAGTCATAAACAAGGTTTTGACCACATCAGTAGCATGAGTGAATTGTCCAGGGCCACCTCGTTTGTTTGTGACAGAGCCAGGAGGTAAACAGTACTCCCCTCTCTCACAAGTAAGTCACCAAAAGTGTCTTATCAAAAGAGATTTGAGAAACTGTAACCCAGTTAAAACAGTTTTTTTCAAAAACCTTGCCTAATAGCACCTCATACCAATTTTAATGAAAAAGTAGCTTCCCTTCAGTTCCCATTTGCATGAACTTGATTTTAGTCATGGATGTGCATTGAATTATATTGAATACTTTTCTGTATATACTGCCATAAAGTTTTATCTTATTTCCTTATCCTTTTGTGTACTTTAATTTTAATAATCCTTTGTTTTCTTAGTTTTTCTGTTAGTCATAAGAACACATGAATTATTGCTAAATGAATAGAAAAAGAGTTTATATTCCACCAATGAAAAACTGCAGGTTCAAGTTCCCATGATCATTTCACATTTGTGCGTGAAGTGGTGCTGTCTCTACATGGTCCTTTCCATGCTTTTTCAAGTCCCAGAGGGCCCTGTTCCCATAGGGAGACTGCTGCTCAACTGGCGTGCCGTTATTTTGGGAGGTGAGTATAGGAGTTGTAAGGCAGGCTAGATCTCGTGAGCCCCCTCCTCTTTCCCCTCAGCTGAACCGTCACAGTTCTCTACACTCTCCCAAGAGACTCAGAAAATGAACACATCTCAGGTGAGCTCTTTATTCATTCCCCACTTTGTGTTGTAGTGGATTTATGAGGTTTAGAAGGAACCATGTGTTAAATGGAAAAATGAGAATAGAAATAGATCAAGTCAATCCTGAGGGAAAATATACACAATTTCCCCATGAACTGTGATGTTTGCTGTTGGCTCTTGGTGGGTAACCTTTGTCAGGGTGAGTAGGTTCCCTCCAGTTTGCTTAGATTTCAACCTAGTCGTAAATGTGCGGTGACATATTGAGTACTTTTTCTGTGTCTGTTTAAAGAAAGGTATAATTTATTTCCGTTATAAATATTGTAAATAGTATAATGGATTTTCTAACGTAAACTTATTCTTGAATTCCTATATAGACCCTACTAGCTATTGAGTATAGTGCTTTTTATATATGTTGCAGGGGTCTATTTCCAAATACTGTTTTTAGGATTTCTGTTTCTGTATCACAAGTTAGTTCAGCCTGTAATTTTCTAATATGCCTGTCCAATTATGTTACCATGCTTATAGGCTCATAAAAGGAATTGGTATGCTTCCCTGCTCTTTATTTTTTTTATTTTGTTTTTTCTAGTAATTTATATGAGAAAATTATCTGTGACTTGTAGATTTTTGAAACTCATAATGTGGGCTTTGTGGGGGCTACAAAATCATGTGAAAGTGAAGGTTATGATTATTGAACTACTTTATTGAATGATCTTAGGTTTAGCCTTCATTTCTACTTTTTCTTAATTTAATTTTTGTCATTCCAGTTTCATAAAAACTCATAGTTTTATATTTTACTGTATTTTCTTAACCTAGTTCATAGTAGTATAATGATTCTAAAGTTGTTCTTTTATATCAACAATTCCTATTTTTATTATTTTTGAAATTTTATTTTAATACATAGACTGCTGATCAAAAAAAGAACAAGCTGTGTTCTGGGTGGCCTAATCTGAAATCTAGAATTTCTGGAGTTCTGTGTGGTCTTGGCATTTTCTGCTGGCAGCATTCTCTAACTACTGAGAGTAAAGGGGACCATTTTGGTGCTCTGCAACTCTGCACCCCCAGCTCTCACTGTTTTTGTTTTGTTTTGCATAAGTAATCTGTCCATAAGGCTCTAAAATCTAAAAAGGTATTGCAGTTTGGGAGGTTCACAAGACCACCTTCACATTCAGTTATTCACTACAAGGACTCGCAGAACTCAGAAAAGTCATCATACTCAAGGTTATGGTTTATTACAGCAAAAAAGATACAAAATAAAATCAGCAAAGGAAGACGCAGATAGATAGGGCAGAGTCCTAGAGAGACCAGGTGTGAGCTTTCAGTTGTCCTCTGCACTGCTTACCTCCTAGCGACATAGAGTATTGCTAACCAGGAAGCTCACCCTAGCCTTGGTGTCCAGAGATTTTACTGGCATTCAGTCACATAGTCATGGCTGAACTCCCACATGGCTGACCTTAGTCTCCAGAGGTCAAACTGGTAGCACATGGCCCAAGGTCCCCATCATAAATCACATGGTTAGCATAGACTGGCATAGACCAAGGCCCCCAGGCAAAGAGACATTTGAGGCAGGACATTCCAAGGGCCTGTAGGTTGCTTCCCAGGAGCTGGACAAGAGCCAGACCTTTCTTTGGGCAAAGTGAATCCACTGTTGCAAAGGTGTACATTAAGAAATCCTCTGCCATTTCTCTCATCGTCTATCCCAGTGTCCTCTGCCTCCTATAGGAAGCCACGTTAATTGTGTTTCATATATCCTTCCATTGTTTAGTTATGAAGAGGCAAGCAAATATGGATACATTTATCCTGATTCCTAGCCAACAGTTTGTATACTATATACCCTATTCTATTCCTTTTTTTCACATGATATACTCTAGATACTTCCACATCAGTACTAATGAACTTCATTTTCTTTTTGCAGCTGCATTGTATATTCCATTATGTGAAAGTACCATTGATTTTTTTCAATCAGTTTCTTAGCAAAGACACTTAGGTTGTTTACAATGAATGACTTTATATATAAATAACTTCATATACCTGTGTCTAAGGGTAGGGAATGGGGAATTTTAGGTTAAATGCTAGAAATGGGGTTACCTGGTCAGAGGTTAAATGCATTTTTAGCTTTGATAAATACTGCACCATAGTGGTTGTAAAATTTTGCATTCTTGCATGCAAAGTATCTGTTCATTCATCATTCGTTTAATTGAGCACCCACTATGCACCAGGTGCTATTCTAATCACTGGTGAGACAGTAGTGAACACAACAGACAAAAATCTGTCTTCATGTAGCATACATTCAAGTGAGGAAAAACAAACAATAAACTTTTAAAATACGTTATTGTATGTCAGATGTTGAAATATTGCTGTGGAAAAAAATAAAGCTACACAAGTTGTATGGAGAGGGTTTGGCAGGACAGATTTTAATTTAAAATAAAGTAGTCAGATAGGCTTCCGTGAGAAGACATTTTAGAGCAACTTGAAAGAAAAGGAGGGAGTAAGCTGCTCAGATAGTTAGAGAATATTTTAGTTGGAGGAAGTAACCAGTTGTCTGACCACACACCCAGTTGCACAAGCAGTGCGGGATAGGTTGCGGAGAGACGGAAGAAGAGACCCAGAGACAGCGTACGAGACATAAGGGTTTATTGAGTCTTACAGAGATTGTCCAGTGGTGGCTGGCTAGATGGAGTTACCGCTACCGGGAGCAGAGAGGAGGTTGCTGATATAGGCAGGGGAACAAAGGCTACGGGCTTGCCAAGAGGGACTGTTCTTGCATGGCCAGCATTTCAAGCATCAGTAGCTCACGTGGAAGGGCTCTGTTCCCTCAAGACGTGATGTTCTTTGAGAGAAACAGGTACAATGCCAGATTTGGTGTCCTGCCCAGGAGGGGGCCAGAAGGGCACCTGGTTGTTATAGGGCACATAGGCTACTGCCAGGCAAGCGTGACCCTATACCTGTGCAAATGCCCTGAGACAGCGTAGTGCTAAAGGGGTTCCAGCATAGCAAACAGGCCATTGTGTCTACAGCAGAATAAATACAGGGAGTAACAAAACAGATAAAGAGGGTAGGTCGTGTGGGATCTTAAAGGCCCTTGCAAGGTGTCTGGCTTCAGCTGAAGTGATATGTGGAGCCAGCCATTGTGGAGGGTGATGAGTTCCCCCAGACTGTGAGACCATGACTTGAGTGCAGTGGATGTACAGGGAAGAGTGAAACAGGAAAGAGGGGCAAGCCAGTCTAAGAGCGATTTATGGCGGCCATCATTACAGTGGGTTGTGACTCATTCTCTGTGCGAACACTCCAAGGAAGTACAGAGCGTGTCCCTCAGAGGGTTCCATTTGGGAGAGGGAAGAGTATTTCTCCCCTAGTTTCTGTCCTTAGTTGAGGGCTGTCCCTGGGCACAGACACTTGCTGCTGCATTAATCAGCAGTAGTTTCTTTGGGCCTGGTAAGTTTCTTCGGAAGTGGCATCGGCATCAGAGAAGATGGCCTGGGCAGAATGTACAGTGACATTCACAGGCACTTGAGGGGGTGCTTGAATGAGGAGTTAGACGTGACGTGGGGCACCTCCTTGAGTCTGGTGTAGGTGACTGTGAGAGGAGTTTTTTGTTGTTTATTAAAGTATAATTTCCATACAGTAAAATTTACAATTTTTTAGGTATACCTTTCTATGTTTTGAAGATATTTTCTTCCACTCTGTGGCTTGATTTTTCCTATTCTTTACAGTGTCTTACAAAGAGTAGAAGTTTTTAATCTACCATTTTTTTATGCATTATGCTGCTTTTGTCCTTTTAAAGAAATCTCAACAAAATTATGTCCTGTGTTTTCCTCTGAAAGTTTTATATTATAGGTTTTACCTATATTGTTATTTAAGTCTATGATCATTTTGAGTTAATTTTTTTTTTTTTTTGGTATAAGGTATGGTTCAAGGTTAATTTTTTTTTTCTTTGTTTATGTATGTTTAAAATTTCCAGCACCATTCGTTGAGAAGAATATTCTTTCTCCATTGAATTACCTTGGCAACCTCTCTTGAAATCAGTTGACCTTATACGTGGGTGTGTTTTTGAACTCTGTTCTCTTCCATCTATCTAATGTCATACTGTCGCTTTACATTAAGTCTTGAAATCAGGTAATGTTAGTCCAGCTTTGTTCTGCTGTGCACAAAATATTTTGGATGTTCTGGGTCTTTCGCTTATTCAAATTTTACAATCCATTTCCATCACCCCAGAACCTTCCCTCATGCCCCTTTTTACTCATTTCCCTCTCCTCCCCTTGCAGCCACTGATCTGGTTAATGTCTCTATGATTTTGCCTTTTCTGCAATGTCATGTAAATGGAATCATACAGTATATAACATTTTATGTCTGGCTTATTTCACTGAGCATAATGCTTTTGAGAAGCATCCACTTTGTTGCATATATTGGTAGTTCATCCCTTTTTGTTGCTGATTAGTATTCCATTGTAGGATATACCACAATTTGTTTATCCATTTGTCAATTGATAGATATTTGAGTTGTTTCCAACTTCTGGCAATTACAGATAAAGCCACCATAAACATCCATGTACAGGTTTTTGCATGGACCTACATCTGCAGGATACACGCAAAATGAGGACCTTCCATGGTACTCTGGTTGTTCTTCCATTAATTGCTTTGCCAGTCATTCATCCTAAGACATCCTTCGGTTCTAAGTCTTGTTCTGTTTGAGCTTGGACATCTTTCTGGGCTTTCATTAGAACTTTGTTCCTTTTGACAATTTTTGTGTTTATATTAGATGTGGTCAATGTTCCTCTGTTTTTCAGTCTGATTCTGTCTACTGTGTATCTTATAGAATTTACTCAAATTTCCTGGCCTTCTGCTGGTACACTTTAGTGTATTTCTCTGTGTCATATACTTATAGTAGGTTTCACATTTCGCTGGAATGTGTTTTTGGAGGCAGATGTAAATGTGTGTACTCAATCTGTTATCTTCAACTGGAAAAATCATTTGCGCTTTAAATTATCTCTGCTGTCATTTTTCAAGACGTTGTTCTATCCAGTTTCTCTTCCTACCATTTAGAAAATTACTTCTCAGTTTCCATGGCCTGCGCTTTTTCTGCTAACCTCTTAAATATAGGTGTTCTGTCAAATTCTGTATGTGGGCCAATTCTCTCCTAGGTTTATATGTGTTTTCTGAGCCAAGTCTTTCTCTCTGATGACTTCGGTTATCACCTTAATGGCTAATGTCTCCTAAATTTTTATCTTTATCCTAGACTTCTCATGTGTGCTCCAAAATCATATAAACAGTTGTGGTGTGTATAATTCCACCTCTTTGCTCACAGAGATTTTAAGTACAAAATGAGCAACTGGGCTCACTGTGACCTTCTGCCTAACCCCATTCTTCTGTTCTTTCCATCTCAATTTATGGCATGAGCACCCACCCAATTGCTCATGCACCTCCTCTCTGTAGCTGCCCAAGAAATTAATGATCAGGTTTTGTTTCTTTCTCTTACAGGTTTAGTTTCCTGTGCTTCATTCCCTTTGCTTTGCCTTGAGATAGCTGGTCATCTCTTTAAGTTGGTTTCTTCTGTTTTAAGATGTTCTCCACTCCTCCTCTAGAGTATTGCTTCTTGAAAGACAAGTCTAGGCATATGTAATACCTCCAGGGCTTACATGTATGTCTTTGTTGGTTCCCCATTATCCCAGCAGAGAATTCTGAGTGGGGTATATGTACCCTAGGGAGTGCTCAGGACAGGCCATTGGGGTACAGGAAAAGATTACAGGAAGCCTATTTATAATAATTTTATCTTAAAAAAATAAAGCACTGGGGCTAGCCCCGTGGCTTACCGGTTAAGTGTGCGCTCCGCTACTGGCGGCCCGGGTTCGGATCCCGGACGTGCACCAACACACCGCTTGTCCGGCCATGCTGAGGCGGCGTCCCACATACAGCAACTAGAAGGATGTGCAACTATGACATACAACTATCTACTGGGGCTTTGGGGAGAAAAGGGGGAGAAAAAAAAAAGGGAGGAGGATTGGCAATAGATGTCAGCTCAGGGCCAGTCTTCCTCCGCAAAAAAGGGAGAGGAGGATTGGCATGGGTGTTAGCTCAGGGCTGATCTTCCTCACAAAAATAAATAAATAAATAAATAAATAAATAAATAAAATAAAGCACTAAGCTTAGTCATTGTATTTTCTATTGCTATCGTAACAAATGACTACAAACTTAGTGGCTTAAATCAACACAAATTCATTATCTTACAAGTCTGAGGGTCAGAAGTCTGATACAGGTCTCAGCTAAAATCAAGATGTTGGCAGAGCTGCATTCCTCTCTGGAAGCTGTAGGGGAGAATCTGTTTCCTTGCCTTTTCATTGTTTCTAGAGGCCACCCCAGATTCCTTGGCTCATGGCCACCTTCCTCCATCTTCAAAGCCAGCAGCGTCATAGCCCCCCTCCCCTGACCCATCTTTTGTTGTCAGTCTCTCTCTCTGACTAAAACTGGGAAAGGTTCTCAGCTCTTAAAGATTCATGTGATTAGGGTGGTAGATAATTCAGGATAATATCCTCATTTCAAAGTACTTAACTTTAATCATATTTATAAAGTCCCTTTTACCGTGGAAGGTAATATGTTCACAGCTTAGTTCGTGAACATCTTTAGGGCACCATTATTCTACCTACCATAATCAGTATTATACTAACTGGCAATGTATGTATATAATATAAATAAATACGAATGAATTAGGGCATGAGAATATTTGTACTAATTGTATGAGTACCCCAAAGTATAAGACAAAGTTAGGACCATAATGCGCATCCTTTATAGCATTTTGTCTTAAATTCTCAATGGTAAACATGATTAGAATTAATTCCCAAAGATATTTTCCAGGTCTCTTATTTCTGAACTCTTCATGTTGAATGGAAATGTGCTGTTACAGGCATCACTGTCATTCAAGGACGTGGCTGTGGAGCTGACCCAGGAGGAGTGGCGGCAGATGGACTCTGCGCAGAGGGCCCTGTACAGGGATGTGATGCTGGAGAACTACAGCCACCTCGTCTCCGTGGGTGAGCAGACCTTACCATGTGACTCCCTCTAAAATGCAACCTGTTTTTTATTTTTTAATGTTAATCATTTTTGTAGAAGTGTGTTTAACCAAAAACATGAAACTCAACAATTTTCATTGTATAATTACTGAGTTTTGAAAAATGTATACAGTTGATTTCTGTCACCAAAATCATGATGTAGAATATTTTCTATCACCCCAAAAAGGTTCGTTGTAGTCCTTTGTAGTCATTCCCATCCTTCCACTCCCCCAGGGTCCTTGCAACCACTGTTCAGCTTTCTGTCATAATAGTTTTGCCTTTTTTATAATTACATATAAGTGGAATCATATGGTATATACTCTCCTTTGACTTCTTTCACTGAGCATAACGCTTTTGAGATTCATACATGTTTCGTGCATCAGTAGTTTATTCTTTTCATTCTTGAGTGATGTTCATTTGTATGTATGTACCACAGTCTGATATCCACTTACCAATTAATAGACATTTTGTTTGTTTCCAATTTGGAGCCATTATAAATTAAACTGTTATGAATGTTTGAATACAAATCTCTGTGTGAACATTTGTCATTTCTCATAAATACTGAGGAGTTGACTGCTGAGTCTTACGATAAGTGTATATGTAGCTTTATAGAAAAATGGCTAAATGTTTCCAAGGGGTTATGCTGTTTTTCCATGGGTTATGCTGTTTTTCATGCCTGTTAACGACATATGAGAGTTCTAGTTGCTCCACATCCTTACTAACATTGGGTCTTCTAGTCTTACTGTTTTTCACCATTCTGTTGGGTGTCTGGTTGTAGTTTATTAGGTTTTAATTTGTATTTCCCTAATGGCTAATGATGTTGTACATGCTTTTTGTGTTCTATTTCAGAAATCTCTGTCTAATGCCAAGTCACTGAATGCAGTTTGAGAGGTCCTTGCCAAGACCATCTGCAGGTTCAATGATTCACTAGAAGGACTCACAGAACTCAGAAAAGCCATTATACTCATGTTTATGGTTTATTACAGCAAAAGGATGCAGACTAAGATCAACAAAGGGAAGAGCCACACAGATCAAGTCCCAGGAGACACCAGGTACAAGCTTCCAGCTGTCCTATCCCAGTTGTGTCATGTGAGCAGTGCTCTTTTTTCCCAGCAACGATGTATGGCAGTGCGCACGGAGTATTGCCAACCAGGGAAGCTCGCCCAAGCCTTGATGGCCAGGCTTTTTATTGGGGGTCAGTAATGTAGACATGGCTGATGGCCTGCTTGGCTAACTCAGTCTCCACCCCCTCCAGAGGTCAAACCAATACCATGTAGCCCAAGGGCCCCACCCACCATAAATCACATAGTTAGCATTGTCCCTAGGTAAACAAAGACACTCTCATCAGGAAGGACATCCCACTGGCCTAGGACTTACCTCCTTAGGAGCTGGACAGAGGCCAAAACTTTCTTTGGGCAAGGTGAATCCTCTACTGCACACTTAAGATTTTCTCCTGTTTTCTTCAAGATGTTTTATAGTTTTAAGTTTAACCTGATTTTTGTGATCCATTGCCAGGTATTTTTCTGTATCAAGTAAGGCTAGAGTTGTAGTTCATTTTTCACTTTTTGATATCCAATTATATGAGCAATAATTGATGCGTACATTATTCTTTCTGCATTGAACTGCCTTGGCACCTTTGTCAAAAATAAATTGACCATAAACTGTGGGTCTCTCTGGGCTATATTTTGTTTCATTGATCTGTATGTCTACCTTAATGCTAATACGATACTCTTAATTAATGTAACTCTAGTAAGTTTTGAAATCAAGAAGTCTGTCCTCCAATATTGTTCTTCTTTTGAAAATTGTTTTGGCACATATGGTTTCTTTGCATTCCCATATAAATTTTAGAATTACTTGTCAGTGTCTTCCAAGACCTTGCTGGGATTCCAACTGGAATTGCTGTAAATCTGCACTCAATTTGGGAATGATTTTACATCTTCATAATATTGAGTCACTCTGTTCCACAAAAATGATGTATCTCTCCTTTTATTTAGGATTTTTCTTTTTCTTTGCAATATTTTATAGTTTTTCAGTGTACCTGTCTGTTTTAGGGCTGCCATAACAAAATGCCACAGGCTGGATGGCTTAAACAACAAAAATTTATTTTCTCACAGGTCTGGAGGCCAGAAGTCTAAGATCAAGGTATAGGTTTGGTTTCCCCTGAGTTCCTCTCCTGGGCTTGCAGATGTCCACCTTCTCCCTGTGTCCTTACATGGTCTTTCCTCTGTATGTGCATCCTATTGTTGTCTTGTATGTCCACATTTTGTTTTCCAAGGACACCAGTCAGATTGGATTAGAGCCCTAATGGCCTAATTTTAAATTAATCACCTCTTTAAAGGCCCTCTCTCCAAATACAGTCAAATTCTGAGGTACTAGGGTTTAGGGATTCAACATAAGAATTTAGGGGGTACACAGTTCAGCCCAAACACTGTCTTACACGTATAATCTGAGATCCATTCTTTGTATATTTGGAAATTTTTTTAATTTTAATTTCTAGTTGTTTATTGGAAGTGTCTAGAAATACAATTAGTTTGCATATATTTTTCTTTAATGAGCTGGTTAGGACTTCAATACTGAATACAAGTTGTAAGAGGAGGCATCCTTGCCATGTTCCTCATCTTAGTGGGAAACTTTCATCTTTCAATACAAAATGTGATGTTACCTGTAGGTTTTTCAGAGTTTCCATATATCAGATTGAGGAATTTGTTCTCTTCATAGTTTGCTGAAGTTTTTCTCTTTTACATTATCAGTGGGTGTTGAATTTTGTAAAAAGCTTTTTCTTTAGCTTCTGAGATGATTATATGGTTTTTCTTTTTTACTTGATTAATATTATGAATTACATGGGGCAGGCCGTGTGGCTTAGCGGTTAAGTGCACGTGCTCCGCTGCTGGCGGCCCGGGTTCAGGTCCCGGGCGCGCACCGACACACCGCTTCTCTGGCCATGCTGAGGCCGTGTCCCGCATACAGCAACTAGAAGGATGTGCAGCTGTGACATACAGCTATCTACTGGGGCTTTGGGGAAAAAAAAATAAAAAAATAAAAAATAAAAAAAATGTTATGAATTACATTGACTTTTATTGTAACAGCTTGATTGAGATATGTTACATAGCATAAAATTCCTCCATTTTTAAGTGTACAATTCAGAATTGTTTTGTATATTCACAGAGTTGTGCAATCACCTCAATCAATTTTAGAACATTTTCATCACCCAAAGGAAAACCTCTTACCTTTTAACTGCCACGCACACCCCTAATTGTTCCCATCTCTCCCAGCCCTAAGCTACTTCTGTGCCTATATATTTGCCTATTCTGGACATTTCATATAAATGGAATCATACAATATGTGGTCTTTTGTGTTTGATTTCATTCACTTAATATGTTTTCAAGGTTGATTCCCGTTATAGCATCTGTCAATGCTTCATTTCTTTGTATTGCTAAACAATATTTCATTGTATGGATATCCCACATTTTATCTATCCATTTATCAGTTGATGGACATTTAGCTTGTTTCCGTTTTTTGGCTATTAAGAATAACGCTGCTATGAACATTCATGTACAGGGTTTTGTGTGGACATATGTTTTCATTTTTCTTAGGTATATACCTAGGAATGAAATTACTAGTTCATATGATAACTTTATGTTTAACCTTTTTTTTTGGTGAGGAAGATCAGCCCTGAGCTAACATCCGTGCTAATCCTCCTCTTTTTGCTGAGGAAGACCGGCTCTGAGCTAACATCTATTGCCAATCCTCCTTCTTTTTTTTTCCCCCAAAGCCCCAGTAGATAGTTGCATGTCATAGTTGCACATCCTTCTAGTTGCTGTATGTGGGACGCGGCCTCAGCATGGACAGAGAAGCGGTGCATTGGTGCGCGCCCGGGATCCGAACCCGGGCCACCAGTAGCGGAGCGCGCACACTTAACCGCTAAGCCACAAGGCCGACCCCATGTTTAACCTTTTGAGCAACTGCTAGACTCTATCCAAAGGAGCTAGACCATTTTACATTCCCACCAGCAATGTGTGAGAGTTTCAGTTTCTGCCATCCTCACCAACCCTTGTTATTTCCTATTTTTTTAAATTATAGCCATTTTAGGTAGATGTGAAATGGTATCTTGTTGTGGTTTTGATTTGCATTTCACTAGTGACTAATAATATTGACCATCTTTTCGTGTGCTTATTGGCGATTTCTATATCTTTGGAATCTGTCTATTCAGATCCTGTGCCTGTTTTTTAACTGGGTTACTTGTCTTTTTGTTGTTGAGTTATAAGAGTTCCTTATATATCTTAGATGCAAGTCCCTTATTGAATATTTTTGATTTGTAAATATTTTCTCCCATTCAGTAGGTTGTCTTTTCCTTTAATTGATGGTGTCCTTTGAGGCATAAAAGTTTTAAATTTTGATGAAGTCCAATTTACCTATTTTTTCTTTACCCAATTTATCTATTTTTGCTTGTTTTAGTGTCATATCTAAGAAACCATTATCATGCATATAAGATCATTGTTATGATCTAAGAATCCAAGGTCATAAAGATTTACTCCTATGTTTTTTCTAAGAATTGTATAAGTTTAGCTCTTACATTTAAGTCTTTGATCCATCACATTTTGAGTTATTTTTATATGTAGTGCAAGATTATGTTATTTTTGAATGTTCAAAAATCTTAAACTCTTGAGATGAACCCCAATTGGTCATAACATATTAACCTTTTTTATATTTTGCTAAATTCATTTTGTTAAGATTTTTTCAAGGATTTTTGCACCTATATTTCTAAAAGGATATTTGTAGATTTATTTTCTTGTATTATGTTTTCCTGAGTCTGATATCATGGTAATTCTTGCCTCATAGAATGAGTGGAATGTGTTACCATTTTCTAGAAAAGTTTGTATAAGATTGGTATTATTTCTTCCTTAAATGTTTGGTTGAATTCACCATTGAAGCTATCTGAACCTGGAAAGTTCTTAATTATAAATTCAACTTCTTTAATAGGTGTACTGCTATTCAGGTAACTTTTTTTTCCTGCCTTTTTGAACAAGCTTTGATAGGTAGTGTCTTTCAAGGAATTTGTCAATTTCATATAAGTTATTGAGCTTATTGGTATAAGGCTGCTTATAATATTCTCTTATTATTCTTTTAGTATCGGTAGCATTTATAGTGATATCCCCTCTTTCATTCTCAATATTAGTTATTTGCATCTTCTTTTTTATTTGGCTGGTTTGTCAAGTGTATTGATCTTTTCAAATAAGCAGATTTTAGTTTCATTGATTCCTCAATTGTTTTTCTCACTTCTGTTTCATTTTTTTAATTGTTTTCTTTCTTCTACTTAATTTTAGTTTAATTTGAACTTTTTTCCTAACATTTTATCGTAGAAGCTTAGATCATAATTTGAAACCCTTCTTTTTTTCTAATATAAGCATTTAAGCATATATTTTTCTAATGTAAGCATATGTTTCTCTCAGCACTGTTCTGGCTGCATCACCCAATTTTTTTTTGTTTATTTGTTTGTTTTGTTTTTTTTTGTGAGGAAGATCAGCCCTGAGCTAACATCTGTGCTAATCCTCCTCTTTTTTGCTGAGGAAGACCGGCTCTGAGCTAACATCTATTGCCAATCCTCCTCCTTTTTTTTTCCCCAAAGCCCCAGTAGATAGTTGTATGTTATAGTTGCACAGCCTTCTAGTTGCTGCATGTGGGACGCGGCCTCAGCATGGCCAGAGAAGCGGTGCCTCGGTGCGCACCCGGGATCCAAACCCGGGCCGCCAGTAGCAGAGCGCGCGCACTTAACCACTAAGCCACTGGGCTGGCCCGCATCACCCAATTTGTATGTGCTGTTTTCATTTTCATTTAGTTCAAGATTATTTTCTTGTCTTGTAATTTCTTCTTTGACAGATTGGCATGGCAGAAGTTCGTTGTTTAATTTCTAAGTAGTTGGGCTTCACCTAATTATTTACTGTTACGAATTTATAATTGAAATACTTTTTATTCAGAAAAAAGTCTGCATGGTTTTAATATTTTTTCATTTATTGAAAATTCTATTACGGTCCAGCATATGCTATATCCTTGTGAATGTTCAATATGTGCTTAAAAATAATGCTTGTTTTGTTTTGGTATCTCATGTTCTATAGATGAAAATTAGGTCAAGCTGATTGTATTATTTAAGTCTTCTGTATTCTCTCTGATTTTTTGTCTACTTGTTCTCAGTTACTGAGAAAGTTGTGTTGATGTCCAACTATAACTGTGGATTTGTCTAGTCTTTCAAATCGATCAGGCTTTTGTGTGTATTTTGAAGTTGTTATCGGAAGTATCTGTCATCTGTTACGATTGTTATATATCCTTTTGATGAGTTATCCTCTTTAGCATTGTGTCCTCTTTATCTTAGATAATGTTTCTTTTTCTGAACTTTATCTGATGTAAATGTAACCCCCTGACTTTCATTTGATTAGTGTTTGCAAGGTATTGTTTTCCTTCCTTTTATTTCTAACCTGTATTATATTTAAAATGGGTTTTTTGTAGGCAGTTTATAGTTTATGTTTGCTTTAAAATATTTTCCATTTCTCTGGGATGCAGCTATTTGGAATTAGTTTTGATCCTTTTGTGTGTGTGTGTGTGTGTGTGTGTGTGTGTGTGAGGAAGATCAGCCCCGAGCTAACATCCATGCCAGTCCTCCTGTTTTTTTTGGCTGAGGAAGACAGGCCCCGGGCTAACATCTGTGCCCATCTTCCTCTACTTTTTTAATATGGGACGCCACCACAGCATGGCCTGAGAAGTGGTGCATCGGTGCGCGCCCAGGATCCGAACCCGGGCTGCCAGCACCGGAGCGCATGCACTTAACTGCTACGCCACGGGGCTGGCCCCTGGTTTTGATCCTTTTAAGACTTGCTTTTATGCTTTATTATGTTGGATTCAGAGCACTCTTTGGGGAAGGTCTCATTTGGCCTCTCTACTAAGGCAGAACCCTTAGGCTGTCCTACCAAATTTCCCATGTTTTCCCATAGGTTAGCATTTTCACCTCTGGCTGGTGGAAATACAAACTTCCCATCCTTGCATGTGCTTTGGAGGTTTTCTGTCTGTTCCTTTTCACTGGTCTTTCCCAACCCTGAGCAGTGTCCTTACGTGCGTTCTCAGCTTAGTACTCAGCCAAAGACGCCAGGACCCTTCTGTATACCTCCATGACTCTATCTCAGTACAGCTTTCTTCTCCAGCATTTTGCCCCGAGACTCTAGTTGCCAGGACTTTTCTAAACTTTGAACTCTTATGTCCTCAACTTAACTGATATTGCCAGCCTGTGTTTTGGTGTCTTCATTCTGTGCTGTGGCCTAGAAACTCTCTGCTGTGGCAGTTATAGGACACATCTCATTTATTTCCCTTTTCTCAATGTACAAAAGTGACATTGTACCTTGCCTTTTACCATATGACATCATTTACTGCTTATTGTCCAATGTCTAAAAACCATTGTTTCATGTATTTTGTGTGGTTTTCCAGTTGTTTGACTTGGGATGGTAAATCAGTCTGTTACTCTATTGTGGCCAGAAGTGGAAGTCCCTATGCAGTGCCTTTTTTAAAACCCAGTATATGTGGACATTTACTGGAATTTAATGTTACTTATGCTTGTGATTCAGGGGTTTAACGATATTTTTTGAGCATCAGAATATGTTTTTGTTGTTACCATCCCCAAAAAGCGGTCACATGAGCACCTTCAATGTACTGTTCTTAAAGTTGGACCTTCCTTCACATTCAGAAACACTGAAGCCTGTTCAACTGACCCACATTTTAAATTATGTGCCTTCTACAGGGTATTGTTTTACAAAACCAAAAGTGATCTTCAAGTCGGAGGAAGGAGAAGAGCCATGGTTATTAGAGGAAGAATTTCTAAACAGGAGCTCCCCAAGTGAGTTACTGAGTACTAACAGGAAGTATCCAGGGGAAGTTAGAGCCAAAGTGGACAGTTAGAGGTGAGCACTTTTGACACCTTGATCTTCGGAAGCTTTGAAAACTAGATTCAATAAAATGTGGAAGGGGAAGGGTCTACCATGAGGGATGCAATATAAGCGTGTTCATCTTTTCATTTTTATAAATGGGAGCCCAGGTATCTCATTTACATCTGACAAATCAAGTAATGCAGTTATATTTAATAGTAAAAAATAAATAAAAACTAAGATTATAAAAGCAATTAAAATTAGTAGAAAAATCAGTAGAAATTATTTGAAAAGCTATTAATAGAATATGATATGAGATTTTTATCAAAGTACTATACTTATGAAATAACTTGGAAAGTTTGAAATACAAAATAATAAATTATTAAGCCAATAAAATACAAATAGTTAAGGGTTCATTTAACTACAACTTAAGGTTGAATTCAGGTCAAAAACATTAAATAAGTAAAGGAGCACTTGACTGTTGCTAAAGAAGATAGCTTAAAAAGGAAATATAAAGGTATTGACTATCTGTGCACCAAATATTACCATCAAGATGCATAAAACAAAAGCTGCAAGACATACAGAGAAATAGGAACACATGAGGTATAGTAGAGCTTAATATACCTCACTGATTTCTTGCCAAATCCAGGGAACAACTGAAACTCTAGAATTGGGGTTAGCGAATTATAGCCAGCTGTCAGTTTTTGTAAATAAAGTTTTATTGGAACTCTGCTAAGCCCATATATATACATATTATCCATGACTGCTTTTGTGCTACAGTACAGGAGAGACTATGTGACCTGAAAAACCGAAAATGTTTACTATCTGGCACTTTACAGAAAATGTTTACCAACTCCTGCTCTAGGAAGTATAAGTAGCATAATTTATAAAGTGAATCTAATATATATCTATATATGCCTTTCAAGCTCTGTACTCTAAAACCAAAGAATAAATCTTCTTTTAAATAACATTGGAACATTCACAAATATAAATACTTTACATCAAAAGAAAATTTCAGTAAATTCCACACAGTAGTACTATTATTCTCCATTAAAACTAGAAATTAGAAACAATATGAGAAAGACTAAAATTCTTCTATCTGAAAATCAAAAATAAATATATATATTTTTAAAAATATATTTAATCAAAGAGTAAACCAAAATTGTATAATATCCAGAAATTTATAAAAATGAAAAATGTGTATTGGAACCTTTGGGCTACAGGTCAAACTGTGCATAGTGGAAAATTTGTAGTCTTATATACTTGTTTTATGAAGTAAGAAAGCTTAAAAGAAGACTAAAGCATAAGAAGTATTTTAAGAAAAATAAAACTAGAAATTAGTGAATGCCAAATATATAAATGATAAAACCAGAATTTGGTTCTCAGAATGAAAATAATTAAATAAAATTGCGAAATGAGCTAACCTACACTGGGAAAAAGAAGAGACATAACTATATAAGAAATAACTCTGCAGGAATACCTAGCATACAGTAGTACAGATATTTTGAAACAAACCTAATGAACGACATGCAAGATATCTAAATAGAAGTTTTAAAAAACTTCGAGACATTAAATCAGAATTACAGAGAGTGATATACCATGTTTGGAGATTGGATGACTATATTTTAAAACTCACTCTCCTCAGTGTGTTTATATGTTCAATGTAATATCAAACAAAATCCCATTAGGTTATTTCAAATCCTCAAAAGCTGATTCTAAAGTTTATATGAAAATGCAAAGGCCTAATAATAATTAAAACATTTTAAGAAGGACAAAGTGGAAGGACTTTTCTCCCAAGTACTGTGACATATTGTAAAGCTGTTTACCCAGTACAAAATGCTACTGGTGTAAGGAAAATGAAATAGACCAATGAAACAATAAAGAGCACAGAAACAAGCATGCTTTAATGATAACTTTTTCCTGAAAAGGGGCACTGCAGAATACTAGGGAAAGCTATTCATATGAAAAGTGACATTGTACACATGCCTTTCACCAGATGACATAAATCAATTTTGGGAGGATTGGAGGCTGACTTGTAAAAGGACAAAACTGTAAATATTTTAAAAGGTAATATGGGAGATAACCTTTATTACTCTGGGTAGGGAAAGATTTGAGACCAAAAAATACTAACCATACAGGAAAAGATTGATAAATTTGACTATATTAAATTCAGAATTTATAGACATAAAAGACACCAAAAAAAGAGTGAGAAAATTAGGCACAGAGTAGCGGAATCTATTTTAGAAACATGGAACCAAGACAGGACTAGTATCCAGATTATATGAAAAAATTCTAATCTATGAGGATGGGAGGCAGCCAGCAAAAAAAATGGGCAAAAGACTTAATTGGTAAGTTTCACAAAGAGGAAACCTATGTGCCCACTAAACATGGAGAAAGATATTTAACCTCATCAGTTGTGAGAAAAAGCAAAATGAAGCTACACCTTGATACTACTCCAAATTTATGAGATTGGTAGAAATTAAGAGTCTGACGAGGGCCGGCCCCGTGGCTTAGTGGTTAAGTGCGCGAGCTCCGCTACTGGTGGCCCGGGTTCCGATCCTGGGCGCTCGCCAATGCACCGCTTTTCCGGCCATGCTAAGGCCACGTCCCACATACAGCAACTAGAAGGATGTGCAACTATGACGTACAACTATCTACTGGGGCTTCGGGGAAAAAAAGGAGGAGGATTGGCAATAGATGTTAGCTCAGAGCCGGTCTTCCTCAGCAAAAAGAGGAGGATTAGCATAGATGTTAGCTCAGGGCTGATCTTCCTCACAAAAAAAAGAAAAAAAAAACAGTCTGACAATTCAGGAGTGGAGGAGGATGTAGAGGACCAGAAACCTCATCCACTGCTTGTGGAGTTGTTAAGTAGTATGCTTGCTTTTGAAATTGCTGGGCATTATCCAGGAAACTCAAAGGTATGTATACCTGAGGTAAACAGGATTTTGGCCCACTTATCTTTGCCCCAGGTCTTACGTCCAAATATTGTTAATTACTTGGTAGAGGGATTAAGATTACTAATCAGATGACCTTAAAGTAGGGAGGTTATCCTGGATTGTCCAGGTGGGCCCAAAGTAATAACACAGGTTTTTGATGGTGGAAGAAGAAAGCAGAAAAGTCAGAGAGATGTCAAAGAAGAAACTGGAGAGATTTGAAGTGTGAGAGGGACTCAGTCACCGTTGCTGGCTTTAATGATGGAAGAGGGGGTCCATGAGCCAAAAAATGCAGCTATCCTCTATAAAACTGGCTGACGGCCAAAAAGGAAACAAGGACTGCAATCCTCCAACTGCCAGAAACTGAATTCTGCCAACAACCCGAATGAGCAGGTAAACAGATTGTCTCCCTAAGTACCTCTAGAAAAAAACTCAGCCATTCTAACACCTTGATTTTTAGCCTAGTGAGACCTCTGTTGTACTTCTGAGCTATAAAATTGTAAGATAATAAATTTGTAATGCTGAAGCCACTACATTTGTGGTAGTTTGTTACAGCAACAATAGGAAACCTCAGAGCCAGGCTATTCTGCTCCTAGCAGTAGTCCATGGAGTATCATTATACAGCAAAGGGAATGGACCAACTTAGAACTACAACCAAAACATGGATGAATCTCACAAATAATGCTGAGCAAAAGAACCAAGACAGAAATATTATAACAAGCAGTATGATTCAGTTTATATAAGGCAACTGATAAAACCAAGCTGTAATTTTTTAGAGATGTATACATGCATTGTAAAACTAGAAAGAAAAGTAAGGAAGTGAACCTGGAACCATGAAAAAGTTGTGCTCAAGAATGAATACAGGAGATTTCCCAAATCTAGTCATTTTCTGTTTCTTGACCTGGATGGTGATTCTGTAAGTGTTCATTTTATGCTACTTGTTAACCTGCACAGAGGAGTTTTTTGCATATTTATTAGGTTTGCAAAATCTAACAAATTTGTTTGCGAAAAGGCAAAACAAGATAAACCAAAGAATGGGAGATGACACTTGTTACAGATACACTCTGCAAAGGGTTTGCTTTTATAAAAGATAAGTCAGAACTTGTCATGTCACCTTCTCAGTATGGCCTTCTGTGTCCACTGTATTTACATGACATGTCTCATCTCATATAGTCTACTTCTCCACTTCGTCTGTATTTATTATTCTCTGAAGCATTCATCAGCTCTTCTTACCCCTGAAATCATATTTCAGAATTTCTGTTTATCTGCCCAAATTGAAAATTTTCGGTGGCACCGCTTCTCTCCCACACACTTTTCTACTTCATTTGGTGGTGCTGATCATGTTTCTTATAATCCATCTAATTTTGGATTAGTCATACTCACCTAAATGCTTATTCTAATCTAGTCTTCTTTGTTTAAGGTTGTATTTCAGTGCCTAGAACAAAATAAAATGCGTAAGAGGGTGTGGTAGGCTGAATAATGTCCCCAAGAGATACCCAGGTCTTAATCCTTGGAAACTATGAATGTTAGTTTATCTGGCTTTCATAGTTTTTTACAAAGAGACTTTGCAGATGTGATCAGCTTTAGGGTCTTGAGATAAGGAGATTATTCTGGATTATCCAAGTGAGCCGTAAATGCAAAAACGTATGTATACTCCATACCAGTTCCCTTTTTCTACCATTCTTTTTTCCAAAGAAAAAGAATGTAAGCAATATGCACTTGGAATTACTTTATTGTTGGAAAACTGGACTGGAAACCAAAGAGTCAAATAAATACATAATAGGGGATATGTATATAAGCCCCATTCCCTAAGAAATGTGTTAAATGGCATACGATACTCCTAATTTTCTCATTCTTAGAAGACTGCCGACTTGATGACCTCTTAGAAGAAAGCCAGGAAAATGAAGACAAACATTTGTGGCAAATTTTATTTATCAACAACAAAACATTGACTACAGAGCAAGAGAAACACTTAGGATCACTATGTAATCTGGGCATTGACATTTTTCATTTAAAAAAAGTGCCCTTGTAAATGTGATACTGCAGGACCTACAGACCAGGTTTCATCCCATTGGCCCCACCCTGTAAATCCAAGAAAGAAGGATGATGAATTTAATGTATGTGAGAAATGGCTCTTCAATATTAGAGATGCAAGAACTTACCTTGAAGAGAAATCTGAATATAATAAAAATGTGAAAGCTCTTGATACCGAGCAATAAGCTCGCTCTGCTCACGCTATCTGAGACAATTAATCACAACAAGTTAGAGATTGAGAAATGAAGTTTAATTAGATTAGCCAGCAAATCAGAAGACAGGTGACTAATGTCTCAAAGACCCATCTTCAAAGATTACGGAATCTTGAGGCAGTTATATAGAGAAAATTGGCAGTAAGGAGGGGGTCCAGGGATGTTGGTCTCCAGGCGTGACGGACTCCAGGCATTACATTGTTCCATTCTTCTGTCAGCTGTGATGGATACGTTGTAGGTGTGTTTCCTGCCTGTGGTCAGCCTGTTCCTGGAGAGAAACTCATAGAACAAAGTTTTTAATTTATTAAGCTATTGGGAAATACATACATAAGCGGAGGCCATAAATCAGGAGAGCATGTGAATTTGTTAGAGTATGTGCAGAGCAGCGAGTAGTCACACAGTTACGTTTAGTGTAACAAGATGGCCTCACTTATGCTCACTTACGCTCTCAATCATAAGAAGAAAGTTATTTAGCATCAGACAATCCAGACTTTGGGGCAAGCTTTTGAATATAATGAACATGAAAAAGTTTTCTGTGACAAGACTGCCCTTATTACACCTAAAAGTGCCCACACAAAACAGAAATCTAATAAATACAATAAATTTAGAAGAAACATATGTCGTAAGTCAACCCTCATTGTCTCACAGAACATTCAAAGAAGAGTAATTATGAATTTGATAGATATTGGTACTGAGCAGTGGGCTCACTCTGTTCGCTGCAGTCAGAGCCAGTTAATCACAATGAGTTAGGAATCAAGAAAGGAAGCTTTAATTCCATTAGCCAGCATAACTGGGAAAATGGAAGACTAATGTCTCAAAAAACCATCTTCAAGAATTACAGAATCTTGAGGTAGTTATATAGGGAAAGTGGGCAGTAAGGAGGGAGTTTAGAAATGTCGGGCTTCAGGCATGATGGACTCCTGGGTCTTTCATTGTTCTTTTCTTCTGTCAGTGATGATGAATATCTTGTATGTGTGTTTCCCGCCTATGGTCAGCCTGTTCCTGAAGAGAAACTCATAGAACAAAGTTTCAATTTATCAAGCCATAGGGGAGTACATATGTAAGCAGAGGCCATAAATCAGGAGACCATGTGAATTTTTTAGAGTACGTGCAGAGCAGTGAGTAGTCACACAGAGGAGGGGCTGGGGTCATTTAGGGTAACAAGATGGCCTCACTTAGTGTTCACTTACAATATGAATGTAATGAAAATGGGAGTGATTTCAGTAGTATCACTCAACTTCAGAGAACTGACACAAGAGAGAGAACTTTCAACCAAAAATTAGACTTCGAAGAATATCAGAGAACTCACACAGGGATGAAACCCCTTGAGTGTGGAAAAAATTTCAGTGATAATCCAGAAATTCAGAGAACTCACATAATGGAGAAACCCTGTGATTATAACACATAGGAAAACCTTCATCTCCCAGTCAGCCTTCAGTGTATATCAGGGAACTAACATAGAGGCAAAAACCGATGAGGGAAATGAATGTGAGAAATCTTCTAAGTCATACCCCATTTTATGCAAGAGAACTCATACAAATGAGAAAAACCTGAGAATATAGTGAATGTGGGACAGCTTTCCTCTGGATGTCATTACTTAAAATACATCAGCGAATACAGGCAAGACAGAATAAACCCTGTGAACGTAATAAAGGTGAGAATGCTTGCAGCCAGAAGTCACACTTCAGAGGACATCAAAGAACTCAGACAGCTGAGAAACCCTATGAATGTAATGATTGTGGAAAATTCTTTTGTAAAAAGTCACACCTCATTCTGCTTCAGAGAACCACGCTGGGGAGAAACTGCTTCAGGGAACTCACACAATGGAGAAACCTTATAAATGTTTTAAGTGTGAAAAAACTTTCAGCCGGAAATCAGGCCTAAGAAAACACCAGGTAACTCATTCAGGGGATAAACCCTATGAATGTATTGAATGTGGAAAATCTTTTAGCCAGAAGGCAAGCTTAATAGTACATCAGAGAATTCACACAACTGAGACACCCTATGAATGTAATGAGGGTGGAAAAATTTTCAGCTATAAGTCAAACCTCACAGATCATCGGAGAACTCACACAGGGGAGGAACTCTATGAATGTGATGAATGTAGGAAAACTTGCAGCCAGAAGTCACACCTCAATGAACATCATAGAATTCACACAGGGGAGAAACCCTATGAATGTAATGAGTGTGGGAAAGCTTTCAACCTAAAGTCAGGCCTACGAAAATATCAGAACTCACACAGGGGAGAAACCCTATAAATGTGACAACTGTGGGAAAAATTTCAGCCAGAAATCAAGCCTCAGAGTACATTATAGAACACACACAAGGGAGAAACCTTGAAAATGTGATGAATGTGGAAAAACTTTCAGCCAGAAATCAAACCTCAGAAATCATCAGAGAATTCACACAGGAGAGAAATCCTGTGAATGTAATGAATTTGGGGAAGCTTTTAGCATGACTTCGGGTCTAAGAAGTCATCAGAGAACTCATTTTAAAAGGAACCCTATGAATGCAATGAATATGGGAAACTTTTCAGTCAGAAGTCATCCTTTAGAGAACATAAGACTCTCGTAGGGGATTAAGCCTATGACTGTGGGAAAACTTTTAGTCAGAAATCAAACTTCACAGTATATCAGACAACACATACAGGGGAGAAACTCTATGAGTATATGAATGTGAGAAAGATTTCAGCCAGAAGTCTGAGCTAAAAGATTTGAGAACTTATACATAGAAGCTATCCTGTGAACTTAATGTACAATGAAAGTTCCTCTGCAAGAAATCACTATCAGAGAACTTACATAGAAGAGAAAAACTTGAAATGTACTGTATATGGGGGACTTTTCACCCAGATAAAGTCTTCATTGGATATCAGAGAATTCTCCTAGGAAAGAAACCCTTGAAGGCAACAAGTATGGGAAATATTCTGTATGGACTCAACCCTTCAACAAACTGACATTGTGGAGAAAGTTATAAAAATCTGCAAACTTTCTGACAGTAATGAAACTTCATTGAACACCACATAAATGATACAGTGAAGAAAACAATGTAATAAATATATTGGCTAAAAGCCAACTTTCTCAGTGTGGTATAAAATACATAGATAGGAGAGACATCATAGTATATCAAAACACGGGACAGAAAATGTATGAAAGTAAAAGATGTGGGAAATCCTCCTACCTGAAGTCAACCCTCTTACATGTAGGTAATGCCCATGTGGCGTGTACTGACTACTTTATCACCAGTCCTCTTCTTCCCAGGCCCACACTTAGTCCAATTTCCCCACTACTCTTCTATCCAAGAGAGATTGTATTACCAATCTCTGGCTAGTGGCAAGTGGACGTTGATGACAAACAAATCTTACTAGAAGACATTCCTCAAAATCCTTCTTGTTCTGTATTGTCCCTCATCAGAATGGAATGGAGATCCTCAGGGCAACTTTGGGACTCCTGCGCTGAACATGGGAGAGTACAAAATGGAAGGAGGGAGGGTTCAAGAAGGTGTGGAGCAGTTTCCTCCTCCACTTCCAGCACTTAGACTTTTTGTGAGGAAGAAATAAACTTATTCCCTGGTAAAATTTTGTATGTTTATGTCTACTTGTTGCTGACATATCCTAGCCATCTCTCAGCTAATATACCATTGAATATGACTTCTGTGAGACTTCAGCACTCAGTGTATATCAGAAATGTCACATGAGAGAAACCCCTGACAATACCCTGAATGGTCTGGAGCTTTTATTCACAAGTCTTCGTTATTAATGAAATATACCAGTAGAGAATGCCAACATTTCAATAAAGAGAGAGAAGCTTTTATCAAGAAATTATTGTTCAGTGAATGTTAGAAAATTAAGAATATAAATGTTTTGGATGTGTGAAAGGTTTCAACAAACCTTTAGACTTTATTCTTAGTGATTGCTCTGAGGGAAAAACTACCAATTTGAGAAAAATAAGTAAAAGACTTTATCTAGAATTGTTATATCAGAACTCTTGTTTCATGTGTAGTATCAAAACATTTAACATATAACAAAGTACTCGCAGACATTCACTATAATAGGAAACTTAAAGGCCAGAAAAAAGTTGCATAATTAGAACAGCATCAAATGTGTATGTGAATATTCTCTGAGCTCTTTTGTGTTTGTCTATGTGAGGCTGCATGTGTGCGTGCCCTTAGCTGTTTGTTTGATGTATATATTGGAAGCCAACATCGTTGTAGGAATTTTGTACCTTTTACTGTATTATAACGTAAACTAGGACTTTCTACATATATATTAACAACCAATAAGCCCTTTTTGGAAAATACCTGAAAATTGCAACCATGCCTCATCCTGTTGTCTTCTAGCATGTATATATAGGAAAAGCCATTTTTACTGAGCTGCTTCTGCAGCAAAGAAGACAGACAATGTTTTCTATAAACTTTTGTGTGCTATCAGGGTCAGCAATGCATTTAGTATAAACAGTATTTATATAAAATATTAAAAAGTCACAGTTATTTAAAGTACAAGTTATTAATTTTTGGAGCAGCTATGAACAGTGATGCTCAGTAACAGAAAATATTCCTATCTTCCATATTCCTGATATGCTTCAGTGAGTTGCCTATATATGTTGGATTGTGTGAATCCTAATTCTCTGTAACCCCTGCAGTGTCTGCATTTGTAATTCTTTATAATGGAGTGTCATATAGTGTCCTCTGTGGTTTTCTTTTTGGTGTTGATGTGACATAGTGGTTGAGAACATGCTGAAATCCTAGATGCCTGTGGGACATTGGGTAGGTTATGTAAACTTTGTATCTTAGTTTCCTCATCTGCAAATTGGGGATAATATCACCTCATCAGATTATTATGAGGATTAAAGAAGTTAATCTAGCTGAAGCAAGTGGAGGAACGTCTGGCATGTGGCAAGAATTACGCACGTTAAATATTACTGTTACTACCGTCACCATCATCATGGCCAATATTTCTTGAATTTATATGGAAAAAATGGTAGAAGTTTGAACAGATTCTATTGGATGGCTGTCTAGGAACCACCCCCACTTATTTTTCACTGCCAGAGCCACCTCTCCCTCAGAGATGCAGGGATAAGCCCTTGGCTTGGACTAAACATGGAAATACACCCTCCATATATCTGTCGTGCATAGTGTTTCTCCATCTTTTTTTCATTATCACTCTTCCCCAGAGAGCCCTTTCAGATTCTTTTCTAATTGCCCTATCCCAATAATATTGTCATATCAAAGATGTGTTGTATATCTATTTATGTACTGTATATTTGTGCTTTATACATAAAATAAGATTTTTTTCATCCCTCCCCTTTACCCCCAAGAACCAATTTTTGACTCCTTGACAATATTATCCCTGTTGGGAATGCGTGATTTAGAGTGATTATGACTCTGCTATGTACAGTGAGACTCCTGAAGAATGTTTGTGGGAGTTTCTTCAATGGTTAAATAAGTTATTCATAATACTGTGTAAAAGAAGTGTTTCTGCTTCATAGCTGCTGTTACCAGCACTGGTAGGTTCCTTTGGGACTTAGCATGGTGTCCAGTTAAGTCCTTATAAAAGAGATGAAACACATTAAACTGAGGTATCCTTTGACCACTGTGTTGTGGTTTTTTTTGATGGGGTGTGAGGTAAGTATCAACCTATATTTTCTTTAGGTGAATAGCCAGTTGTCCTTATACCATTAAATTACTTCATACCATTCACACTCATTTGGAATACTTTATTTCTTACAATGAATTATCATTTGTAGTGGTATTACAGATGTCTGCTAGGTACTCCACAGGACAGCAGATAACCCGTCTGGGCCAATGATCATATCTCATCCTGCTACTTCCTCATTTATTCCAGAGAAGGGCATTAATCCAAGATATGCCAATGAGCATCTGCCCTAGGACTTTTGAAATGCCATGGGAGAAAATAAGGTTATATGTAGTGAGAAGCAGATATACCAGGCAGTGTTTTACTCCCTGAGGACTACAATATCCGTGGTCTTTCTGTAGTTTTCTTATATAGTCAGTAAACGCTGGTAACTTATATACTTTGATGTGTTTCTGAGTTTTTTCTCTCTAATTTATTAAAATTTTTGTGTGATTTATGGAAAAGTTGCAAGAAGAATACAAAGTATGACTGCTACACTGACTCCCCAAAACGTTAACATTTTACTACTTTTGCTTTACCCACCCCCCTCTCTTGGATGCATGGATGTATTGCGTTTATAAGTTTTCCTGAAATGTTGAATAGTAAGTGGCAGGCATGAGGCCCCTTAAATACTTCAGTATGTATATCCTAAAAATAAGTAATTTTCTTAAATAATCTCAGTACATTTATCAAAATCAAGAAATTAACATTAGTAAAATAGTGTTTGTAATCTACAGACCTTATTCACATTTTACCGATTCTCCCAGTAATGTCCTTTATAGCAAAAACAAAAAAATCTAAGATTATGCATTGCATTCTGTAGTCATGTGCCTAGTCTCTCTTAAGCAGTTCTTCAGCCTTTCTATTTCACGACACTGGCATATTTGAAGAGTTCAGCATATGTTCTGTTGAATGTCCTTCAGTTTAGCTTTGTCAGGTGTTTCTTTGTCGTTCGATTTAGGTGATGCTCCTTTGGCAGCAGTACCACAGAAGTGCTGCTGGGTTCTTCTTACCTCAGGTGAAGGTGTAGTCATCAATGCCAGTACTGCTAATGTTGACTGAGAACATGTTGTTTAGGTGGTGTCTTCTAAGTTTCTTCACCATAAAGTTACCATTCTACTGTTTGTATTAATAAACATGAGTAGAGAATTTTAGGCTAAAAGTATCCTGTTACTTCTCAAGCATTCACCCACTAGTTTTACAATTTATTTATGATCCTTGCTGAAATCAATTTTTATGGTTGCCAAAAAGCAATTTTTTAAATTCCATTATTCCTTCTGCATTTATGATGGCAAGAAAGTTTTCCTTTCTTTCCCATTTCTTTATTTACTTATTTGTTCTGTCACTGTAGACTCAGGGATTGTTACTTTATTTAATAGGTTATAATCTTTGACCTTTATTTAATGCTTAAATTGTCTCAGATTTGGCCAGTAGAAGGCCTTTCAAGTTGGACCCAGTTTCCTTTATCATGTGTTTCTGATCTTTTTGATTTTTCCTATTTGTTTATATTTGTTCTGACCATGATGTTTACTCTGCCTTTGTAATATTTTGTATCATAGATAAGTCCTTCATTCTTTCATTCAAAATTTTGTTGTTTTTTCCCTTAGAGATAACAGTTAAACATTTCTTTCCCCCCTTAAATCCTTTAAAATTCTTATTGAATTTGAATTAAATTTAGTGTCAGTTAGGTAACCCACAGGTGAAAACAATTCACCCAGATGACCTAGGGTAATTCCTTGGAAACCAGGAGATACAGAACAATGATTGGGCTCAGACCTCTGTGTTTTCCCCCTTGATGGAGACAATTCCACAGGACACACCCAGCACCACATCATCCATTAGAGAATATTGTTTGGGTCCTAGTTATTAATGCTTCCTTCCCTCTGCCTGGTAGGTCTTTCTTATCAGTGTCTTGCCTTTTGTTCCAATAAGTGGTGTGCTCATCTGGAGACCCAGGAGTTACATTTTCTGCATACTTACTTACTAATACTTTTCACATTGCTACTGGCAGAAAAGAAGCCTGTTTACAGAGGGTTATCACAGTGTTGCATGTAACTACACACACGATGAGAAGACCTCATACTTCAGCCCTCATCTCGTGTTCCCTTTTGCCTGCCTGACTAGTTGTTTGAATGACTGATGTTGGATCTCAGCTGCTTGCCTAACTCTGGAATTAAACTTAAGTATTCTACTAAACAGACTTCACTGCCTGCCTAGTTAACTAAGTGACTAAGTAACTTACTTTAATAACCATTTCTGACTTGACAGCTAGGATGCCAGTCAGCTAGGCTCTGTAACCCACCCAGACAGAGTGAAGCCAGGGAGTGTTGTCAGGATAAGGTCTGCCTGCTTCTTCATGCTTAGATTCCTCTTTGTTCTAGATCCATGTCCATCTCTTCCCTTGAGCACACTTACAGACTCTAGGAGCAGGTAACTAGGAAATAAATGTTCTGAGATGTCTCCAGCCTATTCCTAACCTGAGAACCACCAATGAGCTGCGGGAGGTCCATTAGCTGCCTGAGATGCATACAAGTTTGTGGGTTTGTGCATGTTTCTTGGATGAGGGCCCATGGTTTCCATCAGATTTTCAAAGTAATTGCTAACTTAAATGACCCAAAATTGTCCAAACATGGCTAAAAAGAAACCCCCCAAGAAGCTCATGAATATCATGCTGGCCTCCCAAAACATTTCACAACCTCTCCAGTGTACTCTACTGCTATCTTAGGGGTCAAGATTTGGGGCATGAGGGGAGTGCAGAGCTCTGGGCTGATCCCTAAGCCCTACTTGGATTCCTGTTTTCCTGTGTGTTCTCTTCTTATTATTCCCACTTAGTGTCTGTGAGAGTAGGTCTGGGTTGAAGATTTCCAGAGAAAAACAGAAATCTGCTAGCCACTTTCTTGCTAGTGGCCTCCCTTACCACAAGATGACTGTGATTTCTGCTCCCTTCATGGCAGATGCTCTTCACTCTTAACTCAGGGATAAAGACCCTAATATAACACCATCCTGCTTGAGGCTAAGGGAAGTGTACCTTTGAGAATAATCATCGAGAGGGTGATTTTAAGTAGATTTCAGTCTTTGAAAATATAGGTTCATTTGTGTATAGAATTGCATTCTGGGTGTGTGTGTGCGCACACTTTCTATAGCACTGTGTACACCCCATGTATTTGTATAAAAGTGTATATGTGTCTGTAAGGACATATGGAGCATAATATGTGACCACAAATTCATACGTTGAGTGGGCTCCTCATGTTCTTTATCAAATGGAAGTTGTTACTCATTTTTTTAATGCAGCACTTTTTGTAAGAAATATGTATGAATATGTGTATCAGACTTGACCTTTATCATTGGATAGCCCCAACTGAGGATACTCAAATGGGAACCATAGAAATTATCCATAACTCTTTTCTCTAACTCCCCAAAACGATGACTGATTCTTTTCCATGTTATCTCCTAGATAGCTAACTTATCTCTTTCCTTTTCTTCATCCCTGAGGCCATTGTTGACTAAAACAAAGAGTCTAGGTAAAGGTTAAATGAAAGAGTTTATTCAAATAATCAAAGTGAGGAACTCGAGTCCCAGGAAACAGTCCAAGAGAGTATTCTGAGGAACTGCTCTGAGGTCTACAGATCTGAGTGTAGTTTATATACTTTTAACAAAGCAATGTTCATGCAGGAAAGGGCTTACATATCTAATAGTCATCTACTTCAAGGATAACAAGGCCTTTTTGGTTATACATCAAACAAGGCATGGAATGTTGGTGTTAGCTATGTGTGGAGGGAGGCAAGGACCAGGATTGTTCATTAGTCCCTCAGTCTCTAAGAAATGCAGCTGGAAAATGTGAGAGTGAGGTACCCATTATCTCTTCCTGTTGCTGATTCGTCCTGCTTGTCGGTCTTGAGATGAGGGGTTGCCAGGTCATTTACACACAGGCTTGTGAGGCCTGCATGTCTGCTTCACAGTACAGCATGGATTTTTGTTGTACTGACTTTAAGCCTATGCAGCTTGTTTGCTAGATCACCTGTTAGACCAGAGAAAGGGGTCCCAGTTTCGTTCACACCATCTTATTCCAGCAGTTTAAGGGCTTATTCTGGAAACCTCTTAAATGCCTCTAATCTTAGCTCTTTCAGTCCACTGTCTGCACAACAGCCACAATGATTTTTAAAGGCTCATTACCTGTGGCTTTCACTCTGGCAATGACAATAACAAACCAGGCTAGCCTTCACACAAAAAAATAGGTATAAAAGTTGACAAAATATGAGGCAACTGTTTTCAAGCATTGTGCAACAGGCATTTCAGGACAGTGATCCTTAAAGGAAGAGAAATGTATGATTTTATGCCCTCAATCCTCTATCTTAGAGGGTAACATCATCAAGATAGTGACATGTTGTTCCTGACTTTAGTCCCCCTTACAAGAAGACCAGTTAGCAACTATCCATAGAGGATACACCATTGTGAAAATCCCACAGCCTGGGGATGAGGCTGAAGCACCACCCTGAACCGCAGAGATCAAGAAGGACCATATTAAAAGAGTAAGAGGAGCAGTTTCACTTTGACCACATTGCTCCTTCCCAGGCTGGCATAGCACTGCACCAAAAGGGTCCATCTGAGCCTATGGTTTCTCTAGTGAGGAGAGGCCAAAGGTGGGCACCTAGCTTCCCCAGCATTGCGGCATGCTTCCCAGGAGACCCACTCGAGTCTTGCCTCATGGGGATCGCTGGGGTTCACTGGGGAAATCTGCAAGGCTCAACCACTATGGATCAGATAGAGATGGAGAAGGGGGGTGGCAGTTACAGCAACCAGCACACAGACCTTGGCGAACTACATTCCTGCTTGCAGTAGTGCCCAAGCAGAGATCTCAGCGAGTGGCTCCACCCATCTGCAGAGCCAAGCTTATGGCCCTGCCTAACCAGGGAACTCAGTTGGCAGTTCTGCCTGATTTAGGTCCCCAGCCAATGGGCCATACTGGCCATAGAGCCTGTTCTACAGCCCCGCCGAGGCAGGGAAGCAAGTTTGAAGTCCCAACCAATTACTAAGCATAATCTGCAGTTTCGCCCCACTGGAAAGCCTGGCCACAAATGCCTGGCAGCCTCACAGTACATTCTACAGCCCACTTGGGTAGGGAAGGAAATTTGCAACCCCACCCAACTACCAAGGAAAGCCTCCAGATCTGCCCAACCAGGAAGCCTTGCCAGACAACCTGAGTAGCCACAGAACCCATCCTACTGACCCACTGAGCCAAGCCAGCAGCCCTGCCCAACTGGTGAGCATATCCTCTGGCCCCATATAACCAGGGAGCCTGAACAGTGATCCTGGGCAGGCTTAGAGCCCCGCCTACGGAATCACCCAGCTATGGAGCCCAACCTACAACTCTGCCCAGCAGGAGACTCCAGCCTGTGGCTCTGCTGAATTGCTGAACACAGCCTGCAGCATCACCCAGGCAAGGAGTCCAGCTAGTAGTAACATCTGGTCGGGAAGTGCAGCCTGAGGCCCTCTTCAACTAGAGCAATTGTGGAGCCCAGCCCTGTAGCCCTCTCAGTTGCATAGTCCAAGCAATGGCAACACCCTGCCTGGGAACAGGCTGCAACCCTGCCCAAACAGAGGTGACTGCAGAGCCCAGCTAGTGGCCCCACCTTACAGCAGAGCACAGCCAACAGCCCCACCCAATAAGGGAGCCCACTCAGTGGCTCTGCTTGAACACAGAGCCAACCCAGCAGGCCCACCCAAACCAGAGCCCAGCCAGTGGCACCTCTCCAACCTTAGATCACCATCATTAGCGTCATGCAACTAGAGACCCCAATAACAAGCCCTGCCTGCCAGCAGATGCTACCAACTGACCTACCCAGTACCCCAAGCTGAGCTGACTGATGAAAGTCTTTCCATGCCAAAGTGAACCTGTAAAGTTTGGAAGAGGAGACAGCTTACTCAAGTGCTCAGATACCAATGCAAGGATCAAGGATCATGAAGAATCAGGTAAACATGACACCACCAGAGGAAACTCTAATAACTGACCCTAAAGATCTATGAACTATCTGACAAAGAATTAAGAATAATCCTCTTAAAGAAGTTTAATGAAGTACAAGAACACACAAAGAACTAAATGAAAAAAGCATACTGCCACAAAAAGTCATCAAATCACAAAGAAAGGCAGGAAGAGAAGAAGCAAGGAACAAAGGATCTACAAAACAATCTGAAAACAGTTAACAAAATGTCAATAGTAAGTCCTACCTATCGATAATTACTTTAAACGTAAATGAATTAAATTCTCCAACCAAAAGACATAGAATAGCTGAATGGATTTAAAAAAAAACAAACAGGATCAAACAATATGATGCCTACAAGACACTCACTTTAGCTTTAAGGTCACATATAGGCTGAGACATAAGGAGTGGAAAAAGATACTTCAAGCAAATGGTAATCAAAAGAAAGCAGGGGTAACTATACTTATATCAGACAAAATTAACTTTAAGTTAACAACGGTCAAGAGGAAAAAACAGGTCATTGTAAAATGATAAAGGGGTTAATTCATTAAGAATGTATAACAATTGTAAATATTTATGCACCCAGCATTGAACCACCTAAATATATAAAGCACCTAAATATATAAAGCAAATACTAGTAGAACTAGAAGGAGAAATACACAGCAATACAGTAATTGTTGGGGACCTTAGTATCCCACTCTCAACAATGGATAAATAATACAAACATAAAATCAATAAGGAAACAGCAGATTTAACAACACTACAGACCAAATAAACCTAACAGATGTATAGAGAACATCCTATCCAATAACAGCAGAATACACATTCTTCTCAAGTGTACATGGAACATTTTATGGAATAGATCATGTGTTAGGCCACAAAACAAGTCTCAACAAATTCAAGAAGATAGAAATTATATCAAGTATCTTTTCCAACCACAATGATATGAAACTAAAAATCAATAACAGAAGGAAAGCTGGAAAATTCACAAATACATGGAAATTAAACAACACATTCCTGAACAACCAGTGAATCAAAGAAGAAATCAAAAGGGAAGTCAAAAAATATATTGAGACAAAAACAGAAACAACATGCCAAAACTTATAAGATACAGCAAAAGCAGTTCTAAAAAGAAAGTTTTTATGTAAATGTATACTTTGACAAAAAACAAAGATTTCAAGTAAACAACCTAACTTTACACTTCAAGGAACTAGAAAAAGAACAGACTAAGCCCAAAGTTAGCAGAAGGAAATAAAGAATAAAGATTAGAGCGGAAATAAATGAAATAGAGAATAGGAAAACAATAGAAAAGATTAGAAAAACTTAGAATTGGTTCTTTGAAAAGATAGGCAAAATTGACAAAACCTTAGCTAGATTAACCAGCGAAAAAGAGGGGACTCAAATAAAATCAGAAAAGAAAGAGGAGACATTACAACTGATACTACAGAAATACAAAGGATCATGTGAGACTATTATGAACAATTATATGCCAATAAATTGTGAAACCTACAAGAAATGGATAAATTCCTAGAAAGATACAACCTACCAAGACTGAATCATGAGTAGAAAATATAAACAGACCAATAATAAATAAGGAGATTGAATCAGGAACCAAATATCTCTCAACAAAGAAAAGCCCAGGACCAGATGGTTTCACAGGTGAATTCTTCAAAACATTTAAAGAAGAATTAATACCAGTCCTTTTCAAACTCTTCCAAAAAAATCAAAGAGGAGGGAACCCTTCCAAACTCATTTTATGAGACCAGCATTATTCTGATATCAAAGCCAGATAAAAGACACTACAAAAAAAAAAAAAGCTACAGGCCAATATCCCTGATGAATAGAGATATAAAAATTGTTCAACAGAATACTAGCAAACCTAATTTAACAGCATATTAAAAGGATCATACACCATGATCAGATGGGACCATCCCTTGGATGCAAAGATGGTTTGACATATGCAAATTAATAAATGTGATATACCACATTAGTAGAATGAAAGATAAAAATCATATGATCATCTCAATAGATGCAGAAAAAGCATTTGACAAAACACAACATCCTTTCATGATAAAAACTCTCTGAAAATTGGGTGTAGAAGGAATGTACCTCAACATAATAAAGACCATATATGTCAAGACCATAGCTAACATCATACTCAATGGGAAAAAGTTGAAAGCTTTTCCTCTAAGATCAGGAACAAGACGAGGGTACCCATTCTGTTCTGACCACTTCTGTTCAACGTAGTACTGGAAATCCTAGCCAGAACAACCAGTCAAGAAGAAGAAATAAAAGGCATTCAGATCAGAAAGGAAGAAGTAAAATTGTCTCTATTTGCAAATGGCATATTCTTATATATAGAAAATCTTAAAGACTCCTCCAAAAAACTGATAGAACTGACAGATGGATTCAATAAAGTTGCAAGGTACAAAGTCAACATACAAAAGTCAGTTGCATTTCTATACACTAACAAGCAACTATCTGAAAAAGAATTTTAAAAATCCCATAACAGTAGCATCAAAAACAATATAATACTTAGGAATAAATGTAACCAAGTAGGTGAAAGATGTGTACACTAAAAACTATAACATATTGATGAAAAAAAATTGAATAAGGTACAAATAAATGGAAGATATTCTATGTTCATGGATCTGAAGAGTTAATATTGTTAAAACACCCATACTACTCAAAGCCATTGATAGATTCAGTGCAATCTCTATCAAGATTCCAATGACATTTTTTACATAGGAAAAACAATTCTAAAATTCATATGGAACCACAAAAGACCCCAAATAGCCAAGGCAATTTTGAGAAAGAAGAACAAAGCTGGAGGCATCACACTTCCTGATTTCAAACTTTATTACCAAGCTGTAGTAATCAAAACAATATGGTACTGGCATGGAAACAGACAGATAGACCAATGGAACAGAATCCAGAGCCCAGAAATAAACCCACCCGTATGCAGTCAACTAATATTTGACAAGGGAGCCAAAAATACTCAATGGGGAAAAGATGGTCTCTTCAACAAATGGTGCTGGGAAAACTGGATATTCACATGCAGATGAGTGAAACTGGACCCCTATCTTACACCACTCACAAAAATAAACTATAATTGGATTAAAAACTTAAATGTAAGACCTGAAACCACAAAACTCCTAGAAGAAAACATAGGGGGAAAGCTCCTTGACATTGGTCTTGGCAATGACATTTTGGATATGACACCAAAAGCAGAAGCAACAAAAGCAAAAATAAACAAGTAGGACTATATCAAACTGAAAAGCTATGCACAGCAAATGAAATCAACAAAATGAAAAGGCAACCTACACAAATGGGAGAAAATATTTGCAAACCTTTTATCAGCGTAGAGTTAATATCCAAAATATATAAGGAACTCAGACAACTCAGAAAAAAATAATAATCTGATTAAAAAATGGGCGAAGGACATGAACAGACATTTTTTCCAAAGAATATTTACAAATGGTCAACAAGTACATGAAAAGATGCTCAGCATCACTAATCATCAGGGAAATGCAAATCAAAATCACAATGAGATATTGACTCACACCTTTTAGAATGGCTATTATCAAAAAGACAAGAGATAACAAGTGCTGGCCAGGAAGTGGAGAAAAGGGAATGCTTATGTACTTTTGGTGGGGTTGTAAATTGGTACACCCACTATGGAAAACAATATGGTATGGAGGTTCCTTTAAAAATTAGAAATAGAACTACCATATGATCCAGCAATTCCACCTCTGGGTATATATCTGAAGGAAATGAAATCAATATCTCAAAGAGATATCTGCACCCTCATGTTCATTGTAGCATCACTTACAATAGCCAAGACATGGAAACAATGTAAGTGTCCATCAATGGATGAATGGATAAAGGAAGTGTGGTATATATACACAATGGAATATTATTCAGCCATAAAAAAGAAGGAAATCCTGGGGCCTGCCCAGTGGCATAGTGGTTAAGTTCAGTGCACTCTGCTTCAGCGGCCTGGGTTTGGCAGGTTCGGATCCCAGGCATGGACCTATACACAGCTCATCGAGCCATGCTATGGTGGCAACCCACATACAAAATAGAGGAAGATTGGCACAGATGTTAGTTCAGGGCCACTCTTTCTCAAGCAAAAAGAGGAAGATTGGCAACAGGTGTCAGCTCAGGGCCAACTGTCCTCACAAAAAAAAAGAAGAAGAAAATCCTGCCATTTGCAACAACATGGATGAACCTTGAGGGCATTATGCTGTGTGAAGTAAGTCAAATAAAGTTGAACAAATACTGTATGATCTTACTTACATGAGGAATCTTAAAAAACCAAACTCATAGAAACAGAAAGTAGATTGTGGTTGCCAAGGGTAAGGAGATGGGGGGAATAGGTGAAGGTAGTCAAAGGGTACAAACTTCCAGTTATAAAATAAAGACATTATAAGGATCTACTGTACACCATGGTGACTATAGTTAACAATACTCTATTATGTACTTGCAAGTTGCTGGGACAGTAAATATTAAATGTTCTCACCACACCAAAAAAATGATAACTATGTAAAGTGATGGATATGTTAACTAACCTTGGTGTGGTAATTATTTTGCAATATATGTGTATATCAAATCATCACACTGTACCCTTTAAGTTTACACAATTGTATATGTCAATTGTATTTCAATAAAGCTATCCCCTTCTCTTCACAAAGTGTTCACTTTGCATACACTTTTTTCTTTGGCACAACGAGATTAAGCTCAAATGGACCAATGGTTTTTCTGAACTGCTAAAGTAGTTGGAATTTGAATCAGGGTATTTATGAAACCAAAGCATGAGTATGTGAGGGCAGAGGCTTCTTTGGAATTTATACGGTTTTTACTCACAACACTTGTAACACCAAATTGTGGGGATTTTTCTCACACCAACCAATTCTCCAACTCTCCAGACAGACACCAACTAGATTTCCTACAATTCAATTCAATTCTGACAATAACTACCCAGAGTTAGTGTCAGACTCCACAGGTTTAAGGGCTTAATCTCACAAGACTGCCCTCACTTCAGATGCCAGCCACAAGTTACCAGGCAGGTCCCCAGGTTACCCACACTTCTGCCCAACTTGACTACATAATTGGGGAATTCCCACAACCCCCTTTCCTTTAAGGTTCAATAATTTGCTAGAACAACTCACAGACACATATGTTTACCAGTTTATGATAAAGATACAACTGAAAAACAGCCAGATGGAAGAGATGCTTGGGGCAAGGTATGAGGGGGTGCATGGAGCTTCTGTGCCCTCTCCAGGCATGCCACACTCCCAGCAAGTCGATGTGTTCCCCAACCTGGAAGCTCTAAATCTCATTGTTGAAGAGTTTTTATCAAGTTAAATCTACAACCCTCCGCTCCCCTTCCTGGAGGTTGGCGAGTCAGGCTAAATGTTCCAGCCCTTTAATTACTAGGGCTTTCTGGTGACCGGCCCCATCCTAAGGCTGTCTAGAGACCCCAGCCTAAGTCACCTCATTAGCACAAATTCCAGTGTGATGGAAAAGGGCTCATTGTAAATAATGAAAGACATTTCTATCACTCAGGAAATTCCAAGAGTTTTAGGAGCTCTGTGCCAGGAACCAGGAACAAAGACCAAATATATTTTTGTATTATACTACAGAATTCAACGTGGAATCTTGGCCAAGAGCAGGGCTAATTAACGCAGCCCAAAACTCCATGAGGCCTAGCAGAGGTTGTCTGCTGTGGGACTGAGAGCTAAATCATGATACCAAATGTCATGCACTGCTGAGAAACATAAGCATTCTGGCTAGCCAGAGAGGAGATACCTTAATGAACACCTTAGCATTTCAGTGAAACATTAAGAGTAAGGACTGCACCCTAGCAAAGGGACCATGCCCTAGGATTAAGTTCAATGCCATATTAAACACAGTTTGTCAGAGTAGAAACAAATCCTGATGCAGCAAAAAGGGTTCACCAGTAACTCAATTGCCTGCAGGAACAAAATTCAAGTTCTTAGAAAGGAAGAAAACATAATCCAGAAACTGTATGACATATCATCCGAAATGGCTAGCATCCAAGCATTAATTACTAAAAGTGTGAAGCTGGCTAATGTGATCCAAAAGCAAGGGGAAAAGTACCAGTAAAAAATACTTAAGATGACCTAGACGCTGCCAGTTCTCCTCTGGACCCACCAGTATCACCCGTCTTTGCTTCTACACCTACACTAGACTCCAGTCTTAGCAGGTCCTGAAAGGTGACCAGTGAAGAAGTACATGACTTTTCCAGTTTACACAGAAATCTGGGGAATACATGTGAGAATGAATATTAAGAATATGAAATAATGGTAGAAGGAATATAAAATTGGATCAGGCTAAATTATTGATATGGGCCTACTAAAGAGAGATTCTGGATTCACTGTTGCAGCTTGTGGGGATAGAAAGGGCTCTAAAAGTTTGATTTGTTGGCTGAAACAAGGACCAAAAGATGGCCTACACCAGATGAAGTTGAACTGCCAGAACTTCCTCGGTATACCATAGAGGAAAGGATCCAAAGGCTTAGAGAGATTGGAATGTTAGAGTGGATTTATCATGTTAGACCTGCCCATTCATCTCAGGAGGGTCCAGAGGACACACCTTTCATGACAACTGTGAGAAATAAATTGGTGAAGGGAGCCCAAAAATCCTTGAAGAGCACATCATCTTTTTCTCTGGAGGTCAGAAATTACACTGAGAACTGCTGCAACTGAATTGGAAACCTACATGCAATGGCGATAATTGGATCCCGGGATGGTGGGGAACAAATAGGGGCACCTAATCACCAAAGGTGAGGTGGGCATGGTTACCATAATGGACAGAATGGTCAAAGCAGCAATCAGAATAGATTGATTTGCAGATACCTATGGCATTGGCTGGTTGATCATGGTTACTATGGTCTGAATGTTTTTGTCTCCCCAAAATTCATATGTTAAAACCCAACCCCCAAAGTGATGGTATTGGGAGGTGGGGCCTTTGGGAGGCCATTAGGTCATGAGGGCAGAGCACTCATGCGTGGGATTAGTACCTTTATAATAGAGGCCCCAGAAAGCTCCCTTGTCCCTCCCACCATGTGAGGATACAGAGAGAAGTCAGCAATCTGCAACCTGGAAGAGGGCCTTCACCAGAAACTGACATGCTGGCACCTTGGTCTTGAACTTCTAGCTTTGAAAACTGAGGAATAAATTTATGTTGTTTATAAGCCACTGAGTCTGTGGTATTTCGTTATAGCAGCCCTAATGGACTAAGACAGTGGTATTCCTTGAAGTAAAATAGATGGGCAGTCTACTGAATTTTTACTTGATCTGTATAGGCAAGAGAGTTCTAGGTCAAGTGAACAAAAGTCTAACTTGAATTAAGAAAACAGTCATGGCCCCTCAATCAATTCCCAAACTTGAGCCAGTTTACAGACGGACTCATAACCCCTTGACAAAGGAAGGAAAGACTTGAGTCCATTGAGGAAGGACCCTGATACATTGCCAAAACATCATACTGTTAATCTCTCTCCCAGCCTTTCACAGAGGGGCCTACAGCCTTTTACTAGTGACAACATCTCTGTGGTTGACCCATCAGAGTAAGAGCTTATGGAGGTCAAATGATTAATAGGATTTTAGCTCAGGTCCATCTCACAGGGGGTCCAGTGAGTCGCTAAACCCATCCTGTGGTTACTTCCCCAGTTTGGAATGGATCATTGGAATAGCAACTGGCAGAATCCCTACATTGTTTCCCTGATCTGTGGAGTGAGGATTATTATAGTTGAAAAGACCAAGTGGAAGCCACTAGAACTGCCTCTACTGAGGAAAGTAGTAAAACGAAAGCAATGACGCATTCCTGGAGGGATTGCAGAGATTAATGTCACCATCAAGGACATGAAGGATGCAGGGATTGTGGTTTTCACCACATCCCCATTCAACTCACCTATTTGCCCTGTGAAGAAAACAGATCTTGGAGAATGACAGTGGATTATGTTAAGCTTAACCAGGTGGTGACTCCAAAGCTGCTCTACCAGATGTGGTTGCATTGCTTGAGCAAATTAATGCATCCTCTGGTACTTGGTATGCAGCTATTGATCTGGCAAATGCTTTTTTTCTCCATACCAGTTATTAAAGACCACCAGAGCAGTTTGCTTTCAGCTGGCAAGGCCAGCAATACACCTTCATTGTCTACCTCAGAGGTATATCAGCTTTTCAGCCCTATGTCATAAATTAGTTCACAGGGATCTTGATCACTTTTCCTTACCACAAGATATCACAGTCGTCCATTACACTGATGACATTATGGTGATTAGACCTATTGAGCAAGAAGTAGCAACTACTCTAGACTTATTACTAAGACATTTGCTTGTCAGAGGGTGGGAAATAAATCTGATAAAAATTCAGGGGCCTTCTACTTCAATGAAATTTCTAGTGGTCCAGTGATGTTGGGCATGTTGTGATATCCCTTCTAAAGTGAAGAATAATTGTCACATCTGGCCTTTCCTACAATCAAAAACAAGGCACAATGCTTAGTGGCCCTCTTTGGATTTTGGAGGCAATATGTTTCCATTTGTGCATTCTACTCCAGTCCATTTACTAAGGGACCGGAAAAGCTGTTAGTTTTGAATGGGGCCCAGAGAAGAAGACTCTACAACAGATCCAAGCTGCTGTACAAGCTGCACTGGCAGTTGGGCCAGAAGATTCAGCAGATCCAATGGTGCTTGAAGTGACAGTGGCAGACAGAGATACTCTTTGGAGCCTTTCGCAAGTCCCTATTGGTGGATCACAGCACAGACCCTTAGGATTTTCTAGCAAAGCCCTGCCATCCTCTGTGGATAACTGCTGTCCTTTTGAAATACAACTCTTTGCTACTGGGCCTTAGTAGAGGGACTGAACGCTCAATCAGAAGCCAGCGAGTTACCATGAGACCTGAGCTGCCCATTGTGAACTGGGTGTTATCTGGCCAGGGACTTGGAAAGAATATGAATGAGAAACTAGTGACGAGGTCTGGAGAAGAGTCTTGTGGGTAGAGTTCTCTGGATGGGAGAAAAACATGAAGATATTTGAGTCTCATGTGAATGCTCACCAAAGAGTAACCTTAGCAGAGGAGGATTTTGCAAACCAAGTGGGTTGGATGAGCCATTCTTTGGACTCTTGGCATTGCTCAGTGGCCTTATGAACAAATGGCCATGGTGGCAGGGATGGAGGTTGTGCGCTTGCTCAGCAACATGGACTTCCACTCACCAAGTGCAACCTGGCTACAGCCATTGCTGAGTGCTCAATCTCCAGGCAGCAGAAACCAACACTGAGTCCCCAGTAAGGTACTATCCCTTGGGGTGATCAGCCAACACCTGGTGGCAGGTTGATTACTCTGGACTGCTTCCATCATGAAAGAGACACTTTGGAATAGAAATTCCATACAGCATTGCTGTATTCCATACAGCATTGCTTCTGATCCAAGAACTCGCTTCACGTCAAGTGAAGTGTGGCCATGGTCCCATGCTCATGGAATTCACTATGCTTACCATGTTGCCCTCCATCCTGAATCAGCTGGCTTGACAGAATGGGGGAATAGCCTTTTGAAGACTCAGTTGTGGCACCAGCTAGATAGCAATACCTTGCAGGGCTTGGACAAGGTTCTTCAGGAGGCTGTATATGCTCTGAATCAATGTATGTCTAGAATACAAGAGATCTCTTAGATTGTCTCTTAGTACTACTGTGCCGTGTGATTAAAGTCAATGGAAAACTACAGCAACCCAATTCAGGCAGGGCTGCTAATGGCCCAGACCATTCAGGAATTAAGGTTTGGGTCACCCCCAGTAAAGAACCACGACCTGCTGAGGTGCTTGCTGTGGGCAAAGGGAATACAGAGTGGGTAGTGGAATAAGGTAGTTATAAATATCAGCTATGACCACATAACCAGTTATAGAAGTGAGGACTGTAATTGTTATGAGTATTTTTTCCTTATTTTATTATGAATGTGTGTGTGTGTGTGTATTTATATAGTTTTCTTTCCTCTCTTATCCCTTATCATATAAGATGCATTCACTTTACATAATAGTATTTAAGTTACGGGATATCAAAGAGAAGAGTGGACATCACCCAAGGACTTTGCATTCTCTTCTGGGGAATGGGTTAGTGCATTTTTGGTTGCATGTAGGACATGCAATTAACTTATATCATGTTAAGTGGAAGTATGACCTTGTTATTGTCTTTATTTGAAGATTAAGTATAGTTTAAGGAGATGTGTGTGGGTGCCAAGCTGACAAGAGGTGGACAGTGATGGTTAATTTTACATGTCAATTTGACTAGGCTATGGTGCCCAGTTGCTTGGTCAAACACCAGTCTAGATGTTGCTGTGAAGGTATTTTTTTAGATATGATCAACATTTAAATCAGTAGACTTTGAGTAAAGAAGATTACCCTCCATATGTGTGTGGGCCTCATTCAATCCACGCTGCCTTCAGACTCAAGACTGAACATCCACTCCTGACGGAATTTCCAGACTGCCAGCTAACCCTACAAATTTCAGACTTGCCAGCACCCACAATCACATGTTCCAATTCCTTAAAATAAATGTCTATACATTCTTTTTCTCTTGAAAACTCTAATTCAACACTCCTCTCTCAGTAATTAATAGAACAACTAAATAAGAAATCTGCAGGCATATCAAAGATTTAAAAAATATTGTCAGACAACTTGACCTAAACATTCTTTTCAAATGCATGTAGAATAAAGACTGTCCGTATACTAGGCCATAAGAAGTATCAAACATTTTCTAAAGATTGAAATTTCAGAGACTGTTTTCTGATTACAATGAAGTTAATCTTAAAATCTATAATCTTGTGTTATTGGCCTCTAGATTTTGGATGTCCAGATATATTCTTATGTGGTATTTCATAGAACATTCCATAGGCAGTTTCTTGATCGAGAGTTAGTAAAATAATGAAACTGTGTTTAGTAGTGCTTATCCTATGAAGGCAGAGCTGTGAGATTGGTTGTTTCTGAGGTGGCCCAACCATATCTGCTATTTAGAAAATTGCCAGCAGTATCCTCCTGTCTCTTGGGAAGTAAAAATCCTAAATGTATATACAGAAACTTCATCATCAGTGATGAAGTTGCATCTTAAATAAATAATATATTGTGAGAGAGAGAGCAGACAACTTTATATATACAGGCCTTGTTTCTGAGGACCACACCAATCACTTCTCCTAGTCTATTTTCAATCAGAGAAGGCTTTATGGGAGGGCTGCCTGTGTGTCAGCCTCTTGTTTTGCCTATAGGACCACAGAAAAGCCAAGATGCCTCTTCTCAAGGACCCTCCAGTAACCTGGGGGTATAAGTTCCTAAAGGAACCAGTATTTCACGGTAAGTCACACATTTGCTGATATAGCTGGTCAGATCTGCTACTTTATGCCAAAGAAGGAGGAGAACACTGATAGCACCAGAAATCAAGCTATCAATTCCTGAAAAAAAATAAACCAAAACGTCTGAGTTGGGCTATGGAAAAAGAAAACCCACACCTATGGTCTAGTAGACCTAAAAGAGAAGTGCCGTTCTAGAGGTCCTTCCTGTAAAGAGTCTGGTAAAACTGCTGAAATATTTAAGTACAATTTTAACAACTGAAGGATATAACAAAAAGAAAATGCACAAAAATGCATAAGGAAAGAGGAGAGACTCAATTTCAAGACATAGGGGTTCTCTAGGTCCTGCAGGCTAAAGTAATTTGAGCCCCTATTCAGGCTCTATGTGGTGTGTACCATCTTAGCATTCGCCACTGAAGACCACAGCTAGATATCTCCCCTCCCCAACAGGCCAACCCCAGAGATCCAGGCCCAGAGAGAGATGTCCTAGAGAAAGAGCTGCGCTGACCTGCCTGTAGACCCACCTGATGAACTCCAGCCTCCTTTCCTGACAATCTTCTGCTCCCCTGGGAGATGGACATTGGATATCCACTCACTTTGTGGGCCACGGCACGGGAGTGGGGCCTCGATATAACAGCCATGTTAAACACGGCACAATATGTCTTCATCTGAAAGACACACCCACATCTCAGTTCTGAGTTCTGCCTTTTGTTAGGTCCCTGGGCTCAGCCTCTTGCCCTCACTATGACGGAAGGTATCAATCATCATGTTAGGGCCAGGGCCAGGAATTAGATGGTAATTTTCTATCCCCTTGTAGAACTGCTATTCCAACACCTGCCTTTTGGTTTTTTGTTGTTGTTTTGGTTTGGGTTAGGGGAGGTTTATATGTTTTTATTGATGGCAGCACTATTGGGCTTAAAACATGGCAGTGGTCTTTGACTCTTCCTGAACACCCACATCCAGCATGGTTCCAGGTTTATCCCCATGTCAATCTCTTGCCCTTTTTCCTTCTTATTTCCACTACTTATACCTTGTCAAGGGCCTCATTATCCCCTGCCTGGATTGTTGCAGTTATCTCCTAATTAATCTACAGCATGTTCTTTCTTAAAATCAGTTTTTTCTTTGCTAAGATACTAACCTATCCAAACACAAGTTTTACCATTTTGAGTCCAGTCCATAAAATTCTCTCATAGCTCCCCACGCACACGCCTTGTCACTGTCCTCGCCCAACATACCTTTCCAGCCATATCTCACGCTGTCCTCAAGTACTTCACACACCAAGTGCACTCAGCTACTCAGCATTTGCCAAGCGTTACCTTAAGTTGACACCAACTTTGGGAAGTTGCTTGGGATTACAGGGGTAAGACATGGGCTTTCAGAGTGGAAAGGCCAGGTTGAAATTACAATTATGGCATAAGCTATGCTTGAGTGAAAACTATTGAGCCTCGAGTTTATCATACGTCATCTGAGAATGATAACTGCTTTGAATGCTTGTTGAGAGACTGAATGAGATGACAAGTAGCAAGTGTCTAGAACAATTCCTGGCATATAGTAAATGCTCAGTAAGTTCCACTGCCATATGTCTCCTTGCTTAGATGTTCCTTCAGCTGGGGTGCTATCTTTGATCCTGCTCAGATATGCAGACTTGTTTTATATAGTACCTACTTGTGGAATATATCCTTAATTCCTCACTGCTGGATTTAGTAAATCCTTTCTTTATTCATATTCCACAAATACATTTAGCACTTATCCTGTCCTATTTTGTGTTATGGTTCACGCTAAAGGAGACTAAAAGGTAGAGAAGTGAATGATGTATCCCAGATTGAGAGGACATGATAAGCAACTATTCAGAGGAGGGAAAATGCAGAATGTTCAGAAAATAAAAGGTTACAGTGCTCAGTGGGACTGACGTGTAAGTTGTTGGTGGAGCACAGGCAGCGGAGAACAGAAAGTGGATGGGAACTAGACTTAAACGTCCTCTCATGCCATGTGGATGTCTTAACTGTGTTCCATGAAGCTGAATCCTGACAGGTTGTTGCTTCATGTCTTCACGGGGCTCAATGCAGTCACCTACATTTGTTATACTCAGATCTAAGCCCATATTTTGGGTGATAAAAATATAATTGTCTAACAATTTTGTCTACCTCACAGCTGTCCCAAGTGTGTGCATGTTTGCCTGTCACTACTTTTCATTCTTGCCTTGAAATGATTTACGAGTTTCTGTTTACCTTTCAAGACAGCCAATTTTAGACCACCTACTTGTTCAAGATAATTTGTGAGCTACCTCCTCATTTTCTTATAAATGAAAATACAGTCAGGATGGCCTGAATGGGACACATCCCACACTTTGCATTAAGGACACAGTTCCCACTCACCTTCACAGGCCATATGTGCCTTTCCTGCAGCCAACCTTCTCAAACTTTAACCCAGTACACCAAAAGTCCAAAGATAATAAACAGAACTTGAAGTTTCCTACCGTAAGTACAACTTTTAATGAGTTGAGATACTTCACGGTTATTGCTCAAAAGACAGTTTGTGCAAATGGGAAGCCCCCAGCCCACACTATAAAATTACATTACTACCTAAATCACCTAGAACATATTTCATTCCAAAAGAGAATATTGTCTCTGGGGTGTTCCTAGAAATTACAGCAGCCAGGTTAGAAAAAGTCAAATGAGTGGGGTTTTATCTGTGGGCTTCTAATAGGAGTTGCTTAGGAGTTGAATTGTGTCCCCCTCCAAAGATATGTTGAAGTCCTAAGCACCAGTACCTCAGAATGTACCATATTTGGAAACAGAGTTTTTACAGAGGTAATTAAGTTAAAATGAGATCATTAGGGTGAGCTCTAATCTAATATGACTGGTGTCCTTATAAGGAGGTAAACTTTGGACACAGAAACAGCCACACACAGAGGGAAGACAATATGAAGACACACAGGGAGAAGATGGCCATGTGACTGGAGTGATGTGTCTATAAACCAACGAATGCCAGGGATTGCCTGCAAACACCAGAAGCTAAGAGTCAAGGAAGGATTCTTCCCTAGAGGCATCAGAGGGAGCATGGCCCTGCTGACACTGTGATTTTGGGGAGATTGGGATATTCTCTTCTGATATTTATGAGATCACTGAAGAGATATTATTGAAAGATTTTTTAAATGATCTGTGAACATCACAGAATTCCACATATTTCTCCAAAAAGAGCATGTTTAGAGAAAAGCTTCTGTGTCAGTCTCCAAGATCACCCTCAGGCTCAATGATTGACTTGAAGGACACACAAGACCCAGAAGTTATTATACTCGTGGTTACTGTTTATTACAGAGAAAGGATACAGAGGAGAATCAGCACTGGGGGGGAGGTCTGGAGGAATCCTGGCGCAAGCTTCCAAGAGTTCTCTCCAAGTGGAGTTGCACAGGACATGCTTAATTCCTCCTGCAGTGATGTGTGACATGTGCAGAGTGTTGCAAACCAGGGTAGCTCATTAGAGACTCAGTGCCCAAAGTTGGGGGCTGTTCACATAGGCACACTCTGCCCACCATGTACCAAAATTCTAGACTCCCAGAAGGAAAGCAGATGTTCAGCATACACCATGTTGTTTGTATAGTTTAGGCACAGTGAGCCACCCTTACCAGTTAGGGTCGATGACAACTGGTACGAAATCCATGTTCACAAATGCCAGCCAACGGTCATCCTTGTGAGCAAGGCTTTCTAAGGATAATGTTTCTGGCCTACTGTGTTAACTCTCTCCAGCACAGTCCATCCCCTTGGTCCTTGGCCAAATTGTCTTTATAACAAAATAATTATCAGTAGGACTCCATGCAGCAGGGTAAGACCAACCTGTATTATGCATAATGAATCTCAGTTATGCCCCTTAATTATAAAGCTCTATCTTAGATAGGTGGCTTCCTCCTCAAGTTTCTACATGAATCTTTTTAATGTGACCTGAGGCATCAATTCAGGCACAGAATAACCCTGGCCAATAAATTGAAGCTGACCTGAACGCCTTCCAGCTGAGGCAGTGTCAACGGCCAGGGGGCATACAAGAGAAGTACAATCCCTGAGGGCACACTTCAACTGTTAGTGCACCCTAAGCAGGACACACAGTAAGCCCCATAGATTAACAGAGGCCAGTGGGCTCCCCATGGGACCCCCAATGGGACCTCCTGCACTAGGACTTCCAGTTCAGTTGGAAAAATTTAGTTGAGTCCTTGGTTTTAGAGGGACTGCAAGAAGGCAGTCAGTTCCAGTTTTGTTTGGCGGTGACGCCAGTTCCCCCACCTCACGAGAGTGTTGCAGCAGCTGGGGCCACTAACACCGTCTCATCGCCAGCGCTGTCAGGTGTGATCAAGCTTCCGCAGTCAGTCTGAAAACATTTTCAGCAGCTTGGAAAGGCAGCAGGAGGAGTTTTCTTTCTGGAGGAGGGGAAATCTTCCAGGAAAGGTTTTGAAAAACAAAGATTATTAACGCCTCCTCTCCCCCTTGCCTTCTGTTCGTTTTGCCCGCTGCCCGGAAAGCAATCACTGAGACGACGAGATTGCAGAGAGAGAGGGTTTAATCACAAGGCAGCCACGTGAGGAAACGGGAGAATGAGTCTCAAATCCGCTTCCCTGAAAATAGGGATTCAGGGATATTTATCTGGAAGGGGTCAAGGTGGTCTGAAATGTGGAGATAGATGATTAGAGGTGAGGAGAGGTGAGGTAACTGATGATCTGCGCAAGCGTAGTCAGACTTCACACCTTTTCGTAGGACGCATGTTCACAAAGTGGCGGCGTTGGCATGACCCGAGGGTAGAGATTTTAGCCTCTTGACATCAAAAGGTCACTTATTGGACATCTGTGCGGGCCCAGTTGATGGGTTGGTGGTCTCAACCCGCCTGAAGTGGACAAGGGGCTCTAATTCCTGAAAAGCAGCTCAAACACCCATTACCATGGTGACCCAGGCTTCAAGGAGATGTTATCTATAGGAACCTAGTGGGAGTCAGATAGCATATTGCCTCAACAGCACAGTTAACAATGGGTGAGGGAACACCTAAAAGCTACAGTCAGTAATTGCAAAAAGGAAACAAACTTTAGTTCCTAGCTACTCAATCATCTATGGCAGCTTTTTGCGGGTTTCACTCCAGATTACAGATTACTGCTGCGGTTTTGTTTTTTCTCCCATTGTTGCAAAATCAGTGTGTCCTTTTCAGCCATCATAGCTTCACATTTTTTAATCATCCCCTACTCTCACCCAGACATCTCATCAGGAAGGGTTGTATGCAAGAGGAATAAAAGTATTTTCACAAAGAAAGCATTTTTATACAATTTAACTAGAAAGACATGTCATGTTCAGGAATTGGTCAGGACAAAATCTTGAATCTTTAAAAATTTCAAAATGGATTTTCATAACCTCCCAGCTCTCCCATCCTGATGATGTATTTGGTGAGCACCTAGAAAAGATTAATCCCTTTTACGGGGTAGCTGCACCTCATGATCAACTTGCTTTACTAAAGTGGTGTTCCAGGAGAAAGACAAAACAGTTGAATCAGGTACTCAGTCTATTGTTGCAAACTGCAACTAATCCCAAGGCCAGATATAATCATCAACAAGAGCAGCCCGTGGGAAGGCAAGAGTCCATTTGGCCAGGAGTGGGCAGAGTTCACAGTCCCGGCAATGTGACCTCCCTGAACTTGTAGTTTCAGCAGAAATGGCAGGTTAGGAATGCAATCCGTTTTTGTGTGAGGAATATAGAGCTGATCAGCAGCCCAATTTCAGATGGTCCCAGGAGAGAACAAGACCTTTCCTGCGGAGACTGTGTATAACCCAGGCAGCCCAGCGGCATCCATGATGCTTTCAGTGTCTGTGGCCCCACGCAGGGCTGTCCTGAATCTGCAATGAGACCACAGTCTGAGTTACATCTGCTTTAGTCCAGCACAGTTTGTGCTGAGGCTGAAATAGCACACAGCAGATAGTATCAGGTTTCAGCTACAGGTCAGGTCCGGGCAATGAGGATCTGTGCATTAGGATTCCAGGAAAAAAACAGCGGCTTCTGTTCTGCTGTAGCAAAACAAAAACCCGGCATAGCCAGCAGCAGCGTTCCAAGTCCAAGTGACAAGCACAGCTTCTGTAAACCCTGCTAATCTTGTTATTCTTACCATCGAAGTTGACCCATCCAAAAAATATGCACAGCAGCCAGAAACTGTCAGCCTCTAATCATCAGGTGGGTGATTTTACAAGAGCTCATTAACCACTGTTTAGAATTCCAAAAGGGCTTCTTCACTTAGAGGTTACCTCTCTTTTCATGTTGTCTCCTTTTTTTTCCAGAGGCTCCAAAAGGCAAAAATTATAGCAAAAATCATCACTTATGGAAATTTATTTTGGTTTTAATACTAAAGGACTTTACATTTAAATCCACTCACCAGCAGCAAAAAGCAAAGAAGTTGCGTACCATTTTGAGTTTCTGTTTTTTGGTTTTTTTAGCTTCCTAATCAAGAAATTATTTATGACATTACAAGCATAGAATATTTTGTATTAATTTTTGTCATATATCCGGATGCAATAGCCATAAAACACAAAGCCATTTTTTTTTAAATTTTTTGTTTATTGCAGTAACATTGGTTTATAACATAGTATAAATTTCAGGTGTACATCATTGTACTTCTATTTCTGCATAGATTACATCATGTTCACCACCAAAATACTAATTACAACCCATCACCACACACATGTA